AAGACTAAAAATTCTTATAAAATTATATAATAATTTTATTATAAAATATTTTGCAAAAATAAAAATCTAAAAGTTAATTTTATAAAAACTTTAGTAGCTGGAAATAGCTAAATTTGTATAAAACTACTGTTATATATATAAAATATATTGAGATAAATAAATAATCTATAAAAAATATCAAAAGCTGTTAAAACTACTATTATTTACTATAAAACTTTTAAAAAAAATAATTATAAATTTTATTATAGATCTATCTGTAAGCGCCTATAAAAATAAAAACTTATAAAATATTTATAAAAATATTATAATTATAGTAAACCAGTTTAGTAAAATAGCTTACTTTATTTTAATTTATAAAATACTATTAAAAAAGGGCTTGTAATAATCTTTTTTAAAAAAATCTTTTAGCTGTATAAAATATTTAGAAAAGTAATTATAAATTATAAACTAGTTTTTATAAAAAGTTTTTAATTAAACTTTATTTATATTTTTATAATTAAATAAGGCTTAAATACAGCCTACTATCTACAAATAGATAGTTAAATAAAAAAAATAAATAGTATATTAAAACAGTATTTATAAAACTATATTAACTTTAAATAAAATAATTAATTTAAAAATACTCTAATTTTTAGAATTTATTTATAATAATTTTTTATAAATATTAATTAAGTACTTTTTATTTTTTATAATAATTATATAATATCTACAGATAATTGTACTTAACTTATAAATACTAAATAATTTTATAATAAAATAAAAGTAATATTTTTAAAAAATTAGAAAAATAAAAAGAAAATAGCTGTAAATTTTAAGCAGGTTTACAGATACTAGAAGAACTTTTATAATAAAAATTATAAAACTACTGTTTTTATAATAGACTAAAAAGTTTAGCTTTTTATAAAAAATTTACTATAAAAAAAACTAAAGAAAAAACTAGACTAGTATTATTATAAACTATTTTATATAATTAAAAAAGTATATAAACAGGCCTATAGACTAGAATTATTTATAGATTTTAAAATTTATAATATTTTTTATATATTTTTATTTTATAAATACTATATAAAAAAAAATAAACTTATAAAAGTATTTTTTATAAAAAAAAAAGTTTAGATAACTATAAATATTATCTAAAAGTATTACTAAATTTATAATACTATAAAAAAAAATTCTAGATAAGTAAAAAAATACTATAATTAAAAAAAAACTTAAAAATCTGCTGTAAATCTATATTATTTATAGATTTATAAAAAATTTACTTTACAGAGATATAAAAAATTTAATTAAATAATTAATAAAAAACTAAATTAAGTATAGACTATAAACTATATATAACTATATATTTTATATAATTAATATAAACTATAGTATTTACTTATAGTAGCTAAAAGCTAAAATATATAAAAATATATTAGTATTTTATAAAAAAGTAGTATTTACTATTTATATATAAATAGTTATTATATTTTTAGCTAATTTTTCTGCTAATATAGTTATTAAAAATTTTTTTAAAAAAATTATAATAGTATTTATATATCTAGTTAAACAGCAGCTGCCGGCTAGTTTAAATTATAAAAATATTTTTATAAAGCTGTATTTAAACAGCCAACTGTTTAAAGTTTAATTATTTAATATATAGTATAAACTATATAATAGATTTATAGATTTAAATCTATTTATAATCTAATAAAGACTGTAAATTTATTTAAAAAAAAAACTAGATACTACAGCAGATATTGCTTTTAAGCAATCCAAAAACTAGGCTATAAAAAATAACTTAATAAAAAGTAAAATACTTTATTTTTTATTATTAACCTATTTATAGAAAGCCGGTTAATTTTAGTTAGTTTTAAATATATTTATAAAAAATAAAAAATTTTTAAAAATATAAAAACAGAAGCTGTAAAAACTACTATAATATTTATTATTATAAATTAAAAAATCCTATTTTTTTATATATAAGTAATAGTATATAGAGAAAGAAAAACAGCAGCAGCAGCAGCAGAATTTATAATAAAATTAAAAACTAAAATAAAAATTAAAATAATAGTAATAATAAATATAATAAAAATAAATATATTTATAGTAGTAGCAGCAGCAGATCTAGTAGCAGCAGTAGTAATAAAAATACTTTTTTTATAATAAAAAAAATAATAAAATATACTATAAATAGTTAGCTAAATCTAAACCTGTTTTATAAATAACTTATATAAAAAAATAAAGCAGAGTAGACTAATAAAATCTGTAAATATAAAATTTAAATAGTATACTATAAAAAAAATTAGTTAATTTTTATAGAAAAAAAAAATAAGACTAAGCTTTTATAAAAAAAACTAATAAAATATTTTAAATACTATTATAAAAAAAAAAGTTAGCTAAATATTAATTTATAAAAGCATCTAAAAAAGAAATACTATATAAAAAAACTTACTAAAAAAAAAAAAAAAAGTTATAGAAGTAAAAAAGGCCAAAGGCCTAAAAAAAAAATCTTTTTATATAAAAAAAAATTTTATTTTTATAAGATTAGCTCTGCTAGTCTTAACTGCAAAGTATTTTAAATAATTAGAATAGATAAATTAAAAAAGAATTAATATTATTTACTAAAAAAAGTTTTTTTAATTATAAAAAAAACTATTTATAAGCTATTATAAAAAATTAGCTAATAAATAGTAGACTATACACCAGCAGAAAAGTTTTATAAAAATAATAATATTAGCAGTATAGTACATTTTTTTTATAAAAATATAAAATAATAAGCTATTTTTTTACTATTTTAATTTTTTATAAAAATATTTAGAAAGTAGAGATTTTAATAGTACTACTATAAAAGGCAATACTTTTCTATAAAAAAAACAGTTATAAAAATCTAAACAGCTTTTTTAATTTTTATAGATATTTACAAAAAAAATATATATAAATAATCTAAAGCAGTAGTTATATAACAGCTAAGTAAACTGGCTGCAGCTGCTTTTAAAAGCAGCAGCTGCCTTATAAGTTAGATAAGGCAGTAATAATATTTTAAAATAATATATTAATATTCTTAGCTTTGTAAAAGCTATTTATTCATCACACTATTTCACCTTTTAGCCCTTATAATATTTAAGCTGACCTTTATTATAACTGGTTTTAATTTTCTAAAAAAAGTTAATATAGTTTAGACTATATACTTATTCAGCTGTTGAATAACTAAAAAATAATAATATTTAAAATAATATTATTTATATTTATAATTATTTTATTTAATATACTAGGGGTAGATGTAGAGTACATAATAGGTACAACAGTAAATATTGTATAAAAAAAGTAAATATAAACTTATTATTAAAAAAAAACTATAAAATAGTTACTGTATATTATAAAGTATAGAACAGTTTTTTACTTAAGTTTAACAAAATATATACTATTATTAGTATTAGTTTAAGATGTCTATACTTTATAAATATTATAGTTATTATTAGACTTTAAACTATAATAATAAATATTATTACAGCTATTGAATACAGAATAGTTCTATTTATATATATTATATTATGTAGTATAGACCTAATTAATATTTATATATATATAGGTGTTATACTATATATTTTTATAGCCAACAGTATAAGTACAGTTTTTATAAAAATAGTTTTATAACTGTTAATTTTAAGTATTTTTAGTAGAATCTGCTTGCGGTTGGTAAGGTGTCTATACAGGTTACTACAATTACTATAAAAGCTAATACTGTTTATAAAAAATAAATAGTCTATAATTTTAACTGTAAAGTATAAATAGTATATATTTTTGGAAGAAAATATACTATTTATTATAAACCAGCTGGCTGGTAAGCCTACTGTAAAGCTGATATTATTTATATTTGTCAACAATGTGGGCAACTTGGCCAGTTGGCTGCCTCAGGCTTGCCAGTTCGCCGCCACTGCCAGACTGCCACCTCAGGGCCTGCTCGCCCGCCACCTCAAGGCCTGCCAAGCCTGCCACTGCAAATATGCCAGGCTGCTGCCTCAGGCTCGCAAGTTCGCGGCCTCAGGCCAGATGGTAGCCTTAGTTAGGCTTGTTATTCTGCTATGTAAAGTCTAAGTCTGCCAACTGGCCTAAGGCCGCAAACTGGCCAATCTGCCCATATTGTTGACAAAATTTATTAAATTGATTACATTATTAACTAAAAAAACACTAGCTACAGCTATATAGTATTTTTATATTTATACATCATATGACCCAGCAATATAAGGCCACACATACCAACAGGTACCTACTAGCCGCCCCAAAAGGCAAAAAAGGATTTGGGGTAGGGCCAGATCACATGACTGTATAGGATTATGCTTGATTACCACATAGAAATGCTGAGAACCAACAGTGCTTGGGTGTTATATACATACTGACTAAGGTAATTAGTGTACACTATGCTGAACACCACAGTGACCAAGTTACTCAGGTGGACACCACTGTGGCTTGGAACTATTGATTGCCAGGGCAGCCGCCATACCAATCACGGAGTTAGTTCTTCGTGTCGGGTGAATACCATAAATACCCAGCATCCGACCATACCAAATAATACAGTACCTCGCGCGGAGCAATTGGTATTTGACAATAAAAGTCTCAACCTCCGCCACCACAAGATCATATCTTCTGAAGCAAGCAACAACGGACTTCCTGTTGTTTCAATTGCAGGTAGGTTACATTGTTCTTGTCGGAAATTTTAAATCATGTTCCCAAAAGCCGTGGAGGTGGTCAAGGTCTAGCCAACGGCTTCGGCCGGAAAGACAGTTATGCACCTGCCAGCTGTCCAAGCACCGCATACTTCAACGGTTCGAATTTTCCCCGATACGCATGTTGGAACCAATCGGTTGGGCCGAGCAGATGCTGAATACGGCGAGTGGATCGGTGAAGTTAACGGTGAGGAAATCAGCCAGCCACAATCGCCAGCACAGCACAACACAGCACAACACAGCAGTTCGTGCTGTCTGGTTTAAGGTTAGCACGACCCCACTGCTGTCAGCCATACCTCGCTTATGCCGCCAGCAAGATCTAGACTGGGCCGTCAACTCAGATGCATTGATATCGAAGCAGCCAGCAGGCTGCCACTCACTCGTTTTTTTAAAAAGCTCTCACACTTCCCCCCCACTTGGATTTCTTCCTCTTGTGGTTTCTGTTTCTGTTGTTCCCAGCGAAGATCGCATGATTGCTATCTGCATTTCTAGACCGAGGCGCATTTTTTGTTCATCTAAACAACAACGTCCAGCATGGAGGAGGCTCCTGCCAAGATGACCGGGTACACTCCCCTCGAGGTCGATCTTCCCTCGGTACCGACGACGCAGGTTCTGACCGATCTCCATTGGGAGACCATGCTGGCCCTCGCCGACACGGTCATCCCGTCGATCCGGGGTCGTGGCGATGATGCGGATGTCTCATCGACCAAGTATCACGCCGTCACCGAGACCCAGCTACAATCGGCTACCTCCAGACTCACAGCCACGATCAATCGAACAACCTCCGAAGCAGCCGAGCTAGCACAGACCTATCTGCAGGAGAGTCCCTCGTCTCTGCCGGCATTCCGCAAGGGCCTCCAGCGTCTGATTGCCGACTACGTCCATCAGGAAGGTCAGACCGGGCTGCGATTCATCCTCGATGTTCTGAAGTAGGTGGATGGAGAATCGATGCATGCATGCACATGAGCTAACGATCAGTCGGGGCTGGCCAGCACCCGAGCCGGATCCCTTCTGCTGACCGGGTCGACAACTCCCATCCAGAACCAATCCCTAGCAGTGCGCGAGCAGGTTTTCGCCGGATGGGCCTCGTCGCGATTAAGCCCCATCCGCCTCATCTACCGGTCGCTATCCGCCATGTTCAAGACCACCTGGATGGTGGCGAGCCCGACCCTATCTACCGCTGTGGGGTTCCCCCGAATCCCCGTGCATGGAAGGTCTGCGCCGGGTTGCTGGGAATACGAATTCGTGCAATTTCCTCCGAGCGACCATGACGAGGAGAACGAGGAGGAGCAGCCAGAGGTGCTAGAGACGGACGTGGTAATTATTGGCAGTGGCTGCGGCGGTGCGGTGGCGGCGAAGAACCTGGCCGAAGCCGGGCACCGCGTGCTGGTGGTGGAGAAGTCGTATCACTACCCCTCGCAATACTTCCCCATGGATGGTCGGACCGCCCCCGTGAGTCTGTTCGAGGGTGGGGCGTCGATTCTCACGGACGATGCCTCCGTGGCCATCTTCGCGGGATCCACCTGGGGTGGCGGAGGCACCGTTAACTGGTCAGCGGCGCTGCAGACGCAGGCCTTCGTGCGCCAGGAGTGGGCCGACGATGGGGGCTTACCCTTATTCACCTCCGCTGCCTTTCAAAATTCGCTGGATCGCGTTGCGGCTCGCATGGGCGTCAGCGCAACGCACATTCAGCACAATCGTCAGAACCGCGATCTCTTGGAGGGGGCACGCAAACTCGGCTATGCGGCCGAGGTGGTGCCGCAGAACACTGGCGGCGAGGACCACTACTGTGGGTATTGTACCATGGGATGCTCCGCCGCAGCCAAGAAGGGTCCCACGGAGACCTGGCTGGCGGATGCAGCCAAGGCTGGAGCAGTCTTTGTCGAAGGCTTCAAGGCAGATAAAGTTACTTTCACAACGCGAGGCAGAGAGCGAATCGCCACCGGGGTGGAGGGGACCTGGACCTCCCGCGAGGCGTATCTGTCCCGGGGCCAGAAGGGGGAGGGGATCACAAGAAAGGTAGTCATAAAGGCCCAGAAAGTGATCATCTCTTGCGGTACACTGAACAGCCCTCTGCTGCTTCTCCGGAGTGGGTTGCAAAATTGGCACATCGGCCGGAATCTTCATATCCATCCAGGTAAGCCACTTCATCCGTCCTGTCAGGCCACCACGACCTAACGACTCATGCTCCTCATCGGTAGTCCTCTTTGGTGCGGCCGTGTTTGACGAGGACATCCGACCCTGGGAGGGCTCGGCCCTGACGGCAGTCGTCAAAGAGTTTGAGAATCTTGATGGCCGGGGCCACGGGGCCAAGATCGAAACCACGGTCACCATGCCGCCGCTGTTCCTGCCCATCTTTCCCTGGCGGAGTGGCCTCGACTACAAACTGTTCTGTGCCAAATTGAGCGCCATGACCAGTTACATTGCTGTTACCCGGGATCGTGATTCCGGCCGCGTCTACCCCGACCCCGTCGACGGTCGCATCCGCGTGGCCTACACTCCCTCCGCATTTGACCGGAGGAGTGCCGTGGAGGCCATGATCGCCAGTGCGAAGATCGCTTATGTCGCGGGCGCCAAGGAATTCCACGTCTCGTACGCCGATATGCCCCCGTTCTGCCGATCGGAACAGGAGAAGAAGGACCCAGACGAGGAGGGCATCAACAATCCGGAGCTGCAGAAATGGATCACGCAGTTCCGCCAGCAATCACCACTGGATATCGAGAAGGCGGGCTATGCCAGTGCCCACCAGATGGGAACCTGTCGCATGGCGAGCACGGCGAGTAAGGGAGTGGTGGGTCCGGAATGCCAGGTCTGGGGCACGCAGGGGCTCTATATCATGGATGCATCGATCTTCCCCAGCGCGAGCGGCGTGAATCCCATGATCACCAATATGGCCATCGCGGACTGGGCCAGCCGGAATCTGTCGGAGACGATGAGGGCACAGGGGAAGGCATAAATTGCAGGCGTGACTTGGCGGGCCTGGGGTCCGCTTTTAGGTTCGGTTTGTTCGGAAAGTCTTGTGCCCTTCACTCCAGAATTCAGGAAGATCTTCTCACAGGAGGCAATGGATAGATCCTAACCTGCCGTGCTAATAATCTCTTTATCGCTGTAGACTGATTTTCCACCCACGACTCCCAGAATAATAATCATGAAATCCAATTTCTACAATGAGATTCAAAGTATAACTACGTCGCAGCCTATACCTCAGTCACATAATATGGTCGCCTCATGGAGAACTAGAACAGTCCGATCGACTTCCGTCGGCAAGGTTAGCTCATAGTCCAAGAGTTAGCTCGGGCCTGTTCAGTTTCAGAAGATCGAGCAGCTTGCAGAGGGCTCGTGTCGCCCGTGTATCGTTACAGCATGCGGAGATATTGAATTTGGGGCCGGGACAAATGGTCATGTTCTGGATATACCAGAGATGCGCGGTTGGCTCTGGTGCGTCCAAGAGGTGATACTGCAGGTTGCCCCCAGTGTTGTTGATGCCCTGAAACTCCTGAATGGAACTTGCATTGGGTGTGAAGTTGGATGGAGTGGGAATTCAGTACTCGGGAGACAGCTGGCTATAGTCCGGAAAGAACGGTGGCCCGGCCCCGTTGCACAGGATCCGGGGAATGATATCATTGCAATGGGCCAGTCGGTAGGTCTCTCCTTGAGCCTGAGTGCTGATCAGCTCAGATAGCTCGTAGTTCCCCACCGATGGGGATGCGTAGCTGTACTGTGGGGGGTCTGCTATCAGCTCTCTGTCTCTGCTCTGGCCACCGCCGAAGTTCACCTACCAAGGTGACATTATGACCGTATGTGCGGAACTCGGCCGCTGCCACAGTGGCCAGCGCGGCCCCCAGGCTGTGACCGACAAACACGATCTTGTAGTTGCGGTACTGGGCCATCGCCTTCGTCACCGGCGCCAACGTCACGTTTTTTTGGTGTTGGACCAGGTCCTCCAGAATTCCTGGTGGATCTGACACCCGGGGCAGGAAGCCGTCCCAAATGTTGTCACGTCGACCAGGGCAAAATCGGCGTCAACATCCACCTTAGGGCAGGCGTTCGTACCCACGAATTGCAGCACGATCAGCTCGTGGGTGTGGTCTAGCAACACGAAGCCCGATACTCCCTGGTTGTAGAGACTGTTGGCAGGCTGTTAGCTTCGGATTCCTCTTGACCCGGTCTCGGAACGAGTCCCACCCACCTGGTGGAGTTGAACTCTGCAATTGTGGTGGTGTTGGCACTGGTCACATTCAGGCAGTTGCCCGCGCCGCAGTCGACACCGTCGTGGCAGCCGGCCGCATATTCGGCGAAGAAGCTGAATCGATCAAACAACTCCTGCGAAATACCTGGTGAGAGGGTCAGCGACCTGGGGCACCCGCTGGGGGGATGCTTGCGGAGGGCCGACCTTTTTGCGTCGGCTGCTGCGCGTTCACTAGGGCTCCTGCGCCCAAGCAGGCAATCAAGGTATAAATGGCCAAGTAGAGAGCCATGTGGATGGTGTGCAAAGGAAGCAATAAGACTTGGGAATCCTCGGTGGACTTCTTTTAGCTCAAGGCCATCGCAGTGAGAAAGCTGCTACAGATGGAATTAATATACGTGCCAACTGCCAGCTTCCTTCCGTGCAGGAGTCGTGGAGATCCGGTGCATCCGGGCATAAAACGAAACCGGTAATAATGAAGTAGCCCACTGTTGTTCCCAATTGACTTGTCCCGAACTCATTTCCCGCACCAGAAAGCATCGTAACCCGAAAAGGAGAACGGAGAACGGAGAACGGAGAACTGTAATGTGAAAAGGCGATATGTACCCGAGGAGCGGAATCGATTGGCTCAGTCGCTGGCTGGAAAAAAATAGCCCAGGAAGGCCAGCCCCGAGGAGATTGACATCATATTGACCAGGCGATCAAAGAAGGTTATGATGCGGGCCGTGGCTACCAAGGTTCGAAGCAAAGTACTAGGTATTCATCCATCAAGACTTTTACAGAGCCAACCCAAGACCAAGAGGCCCCCAAACACCGGCAACACCCATCGCCCACATGCCAGTAGCAGTAGCTGCGCCCCCGGTAGAGCTGGAAGCCTTCAATCGAGTAGGGCTGACAGCCGAAGTCGCGGATGAGGCAGAGGACGAGTCTGCGCGGGAATTCGGAAACCACCCAGTGGCCATGGCGCTTTCGGAGGAAAGCAGGGAGGCGTACCTCGCTTCCTCACTGGAAAGGATAGCCCTTGCAGCAGTTGGCAGGTTGGAGTACCAGGCCGGCATAACACCTGATCTCTCCGCGATGATTTCGGATGAGAAGAATGCTGGGTCGGTCCTCATTCTCTCCCACCAGCTCGTCGGCACAGCAGTCTCTAGAACCGACAGCCTTCCGGTGAGGTTCATGGGGTTGACGGTGCTCGTCGCCGACTCAAGGGAAGGGGTGCTGATAGTTTCGCCTGGAACAGTTTTAGTGGCCCCAACCACAATCTCGATGCCCGTTACGACTTCGGTGGTGGTCACTGTTCTAAGCACGGAGGTAGCCAGGTGGGTTGTATCGGCGAGCGCAATCAGGGGGTTTGTGGCGCCGAGGAGGGCAAGGAGATGGAAGTGCATGATTGACCTCCGAGAAAATAATGCACCACGGGCTAATTTCAGGGGGCGACCCGGGGCATCGATGATGTGTGGAGTGGCTTGGGAGGGGGAACTTGTAGTGAAGTAGTGTTATGCACTGACACCTAGTGGATGGTTAAGCAACCTAGGGAGACGGCTAAGCGAAGGGTCCGTGAGCTGGCTAGTGGGTGCACAGCCCCCGTCCAGCTGTTATCTCATGTCATTCCACAGTTTTCGAGCTGCTATTTTAAGATAGGTTGCATCGGGGCGCAGGCTTAGCGTGGATAGTTGGCATATCCAGAAAAAGACTCGTTCACGCGGAGCAAGAGCCATGACTATCTGGCCAGGGTGGTCACTGCATCCCCAGCTGATCTGGTATCAGAAAACATATCTCACTGTAAGGGCCAACTTTGCCAAGCGAGTGGCCAGATCCTGTTGGTTTGCCCATCATTCGACGGCCAGATTGACTCGAAAATCTCTAGCTCTGCACTGCGCATCGTCCTAGGGCACGGGGTTGGTCGATACTGATTTTCCGCCCGCACCATCCCCACCCCCGAGGAATTATTGCACTGCACTTGCCACGCCCCTGCCATCTCCTTGTAGAGATCATGACTTCTCCCCAGCACCAATGGTCTGAGACCTCCGACTGATCTATCGTCATGGTAATGCGCCAACCGCCCCACGCGCGGGTGAAGGCGGAGCAACTTTAGGCGCCCCCTGCCCGCAGTCGCCTGACCCCCCTGAATGCGCTTGAAGATGGCGGTGGCCAGCAACTCATCGATAGCGGCATTAATCGCTTGGTCGCGAACGATCCACTTGGGACAATGGCCGTCAAGTAGCTCTTGCTCCAAGGCAGTCAACGCTCGCGGCGGGAAGGGCGTCAGTGCGGAGGCTGGTCGATCGGCCATGACAACCGCGGGGAGGCAGATGAGAATCAGATCCAGAGTCTGCAACGCCGAGAACTGGCCCAGCGCGTCGTATGCGGCCACCTCAAGCGGATGCCCGCGGTGCCGTTGCACGCAGATCCGCAGTGTGCGCAGCACGGGACAGCGGGTGGCCGCGCCAGCAATGACTTCCGCCGTGAAGATCGGGGCAATGGGTCCGTTCCGTGCTAGTCGGCTGAAGGTCAGCCCTGACTGATATTGGGGCTGGTCACGGTCCAGCTGTAGCTCGGTGAGGGTGGGACCATGCCGGTCGAGCACCGTCAGGAGGAGGGTCTGCTCGTATGGCCCCAGTAAGCACAGGTAGACCAGCGGAGGGAGCGCGTCGAACATTCTTTGGGCCGCGTGGGTCCAATTCGCCCAATAGTCGACACCCTCCGGGGGCCGGAGAAAGAGGGTCAGCCGCTGGAGGGCTTGGAAGGGTTGCTGGATTGCGATTGTGCTTAATACAGTACTGTCCTCGATCGTCCCGGGAGCCCACGCCGTGAGGGACTGCCAATTGACCACCCCAGACCAGGCCTCCAACCCCTCGCGTGTCATCGTCGTGCTCAACGGCAATGCGAGCACCTCGAGGCATGCTCGCGAGGCTGGATGCATCCCGCTCTCCGCAGGCTGGGACCGGAGCCACCGGTGGTAGTCATGATACGTGCGAGAAGCAGACCCGCGACCGGGACGGAGCTGCAATGACAAGCGCTTGATATACGGGACCTGTCGGAGAATATCGCGCAGGGCACGATCAGGGTGCTCCACGAACGGAACACAATGATCCTCCGGATGGACGATCTGGATGGTATGCAGCACCGGAGAGTGGATCCATCGTGTCGCCAGGATTCCGCCAGCATCCCGCCGGTTCTGGGCGACGATCGACAGTCGACAGTGGGGATGAGTCACCGCCAGCGTATCCAGCAGCTTCAGCGGATAGTGTCGGAACATCAGGAGATCAAGCTGCTGAAGACCGTGCAATTGCTCCACGAGGCGGACGACGGGGGTCCAGTCGCCTTTGTATCCGCCCAGATTACGGGGCGGGATGATGTCCTCCGCGGGGGTTTGATCCAGATATCGCCCCAGTTCGGCGGGACTGTCCCTCTTCAATGGGACTGAGGGTGGGGAAAGTATAGTCGTCAGCGTAATCCCATGGCTCGGAGTTGGCCAAAAGGTAAGGGGTTAGGTTGGCTGACCCTGATACGAATCACTCTGATCCATCTCGGGGAAGTATTCCCGGTCATCCTGTTGGGGATGACAATAGATGGACCGGTGACTTTCTTGGCAGACGAGGGTCAACCGCTGGATATGCGGCAGAATGTGACTGAGATCCAGCAGTTGGAGCACGCGCTGAAGAGGCTCGAGGATTGAAGATTCCAGGTGAATGGTGAGATGTCGATAGATGTGGGAACCAGCCACCCGGTTCCATTGGCGGTTCACCTGGGCTAGGGCTCGTAGGGCTTCCTGTGATATATTATCAATCACGCTCACCTCTTTCACAATCAGCTGCTTCAGCTCCAGCGGTAAGTAATCCATACGTGAGGAAGTCGTGGGACTGGACTTCAACTGCGAGGTAAAAAATGGTGGACGATGCAGCCAACCACTTGAAGGGGGGGGGGGGGGGGTGGTTACGGAGGACTCAGTAGCAAGTGAGGGTAATAAGTTAGGTCACGTGAGTCCCCAGAGTGGGCGGATGAGTATTTACCCGGAAACAGGTGCTCCACCGCCTGCCATTTCAGGTGGTTGTTCCGTTCATGCCCAGTGATCATGATGGATTGTTCCAGGTTGTGCTGGACCCAGCCCTGAATACTCCCCTCAGTTACAGATCCTAGCATTGTTAATTAGACTGCAACTGACCTGAATGTAGAGCCGTCACACTAGTTGACACCCGGCCAGCGCAGGCGCAGGTGGAAGAACGGCACCTTCGGTTCCAAACTGGTTCCATTGGGGAACTGCTTAAGTCCGAGCCAGCCAATCATCGCCGGGAACGGCACCGTCGGTTCGGAACTCCAGGCACCTGGCACTGATGCAGCTGAGCCCAGAGGAGATGGCCTGGTACAGTCCGATCAGTCAGTACATGGTAGTACTCGTTATCCAGAACCCATCCATGCGCAAATAAGCTCGTTTCCCACCCCCAGACTTGTCATCAGAAGACCAGAAACTGACGTTTTTATTTGGAGTGAGCTGGGTGACTAGAATAGATATATAATGGGTGAACCGCACACATTTACCTGCTGTTCCTTTGTCTCAGTACCATTCACGTCCTGAACATACCAATCCCTCCTCTCAAGATTCGGTCCTTGGGCTGATGACAATGGCGTTCTACAATACTTATCCTGGCTTTCTGTATCGCCAATTCTTAATCTGCCCCTCCAAGGCCCCGTCTTCTACCTCCCTTCGCGGTAAAGCCGGCATTGTCACGGGCTCCAACACGGGACTGGGCTATCAAGCTTCGGCTCAATTGCTGGGCCTGGGGTTATCTCATCTGATCCTAGCTGTCCGCAGCAGTTCCAAGGGCGAAGCGGCCCGGAAATCTCTTCTCGCATCACTGCCCGCTTCTGCCAAAGCTCCCGTGGTCGAGGTGTGGGAATTGGATCTCGGCAGCTATGCCAGTGTGCGCTCCTTTGTCGAGCGCCTCAAACAGTCCGGGCTTCACATTGACTTTGCCCTTCTGAACGCGGGCGTGGCCAACTTCCACTTCACAATGAACCAGGCCACCTCCCACGAGACGAGTATTCAGGTCAACTGGCTCAGTACTGCGCTGCTGACCTTGCTTCTGCTTCCGGTCCTCGATATCCAGGCCGCCCAGCATCTGAATCGCCCGCGTCCGGTCCTTTCCATTGTGGGCAGCGAAACCGCCGCCTGGGCCAATTTCCAGGAGGCCCAGATCGCACGGAGTCAGCGACGTCCTCTGATCCAGGTTCTGGATGACCCCAAGCACTTTAATATGGGCGATCGCTACTATACCTCGAAGCTGCTCTACCAGCTGTTCTTCCGAGAGCTGTTCCAGCATCGATCCCCCGGCAAACGCTCCACGGGGGCCATTCTCAACCTGGTGAACCCCGGCTTTTGCTATGGCTCAGAACTGCATCGCACGGCGGAAGGAGCATTTGGCAAGGTTTTGGGCGGGATGAAGAGGGTGATCGGTCGATCGGTGTCGATGGGGGCTCGAACTCTGGTTCATTCTGCGGTGTTGGCCGGAGAGCCCTCCAATGGCCGGTACCTGAGCGACAACAAGCTGGCTCCTTTTGCAGGCTACGGGGATAGTGACGCGGGGCGATTCACTCAGGACCAGGTCTGGAATGAGACGATTTCGGAGTTGAAGCAAATTGTGGACGTGAATGAGCTAGTGTCGCAGATTTGATCCTATTATCTGTTGTTGGTTGGTGGTGTTGTTTTCCTCTTTTCGTCTTATCCTTTTTTTGCCTGTTTATCTAGCAGTCGCTCGACGTTAGGGTTGCAGTAAATCAAGTGATGATGGACGGAGTACTCCATGTAGTAGTTAGCTGACTTATTGGGAGAACGAGTCGGGGGGCTGACTAACCCCCATCCCTGTCAGATTAGTTCGTTCACCTCTACTGACCCTCTGCTGTCGCCTCTTTCCGATGAGTCTCAATCAACTCCCTCAACCCTCGACCCCCATCCTTAGCTGCCATTTCCCAACTGCGGCTCTATTCCCATCCATCTCCATCGACCCCGTGATGGAGGAAGAACTCACGTCCCCGGAGGAGCTGACCTCCCCTTCTCAACTATTGAGTTATTTGTCCACATACAAGGCACTGGTCTGTCTAAGATGCCGCTACGCCATTCAGCCCGGGGCAATTGCGCGTCATCTCAAGGAAATCCATCATCTTCACCGTGTAACGCGGCGGACCTTTGTCGCCTTAGCTTCGGAGTTGGAGTTGGCCCAGCCACATGATGTCGTCTTGCCCGATGAAAGCCAGTTTCCGGTTCCCTTCCTACCCATACAAGAAGGACTTGCGTGCCGTTTCGAGCACTGTGGCTATCTTTGCGCCAGCAGCAAACGCATGAAGCAACACTGGCGATGCACCCACCAGATTTCCACCTCCGATGAGAGTCCACTCTCGACTCCGGTCCCACTACAGACTTTTTTCCGCGGCAATGCCCTGCGATACTTTACCAATCCGTCCTTGCTAAGGGCCTCCCCAGCTTGTACGCCGGATAGCGCTGCCGAATTTAGCAAGGATGGTCGATTCAATACGGTCGGTTTCTCAACGCTTTCACCCTTAATCTTCCCCCTTGCATCCTTGTCTGCCGAAGCTGACCATGACTTTCTTCGCCTATAGCCCTGTACTACCCCAAAGACAAGCACAACATACCCGGAAAACGGGCACCTACCGTTGGACCGGCATTCGTCGTTGATCATAACTGACCAAGGTCTGCTCGACCATTATCGGGATTCAACCTACAAAACCCTCTCCTGCCACCCAGAAACCGACCAAGCATTTGGAGAGGTTGTTCTGGGGCTGACCGCCCGGTTTGACTTCTTGAGGCAGGGGGTCATGGCGTGTGCAGCCTTGCACCTGGCCTCCATTCACCCGGCTAATCGCACCCATTATGTCTTGCAATCCCTCCGGCACCAGGCCCAAGCCATTCCCGCTTTTCGTCAGGCTATCTTACTCATCGATCGCGACAACTGCGAGGCAGTCCTGGCCTTTGCGTTTTTCCTTGTCATCTGCTCCCTCAACTCCGACACCGAGGACCCGCGACTGTTCCTGAGCGATGACCCCGACCAACATCTGCACTGGATCAACATCCTGCGCAACGGCTGCTCCATGCTCTGCCCGTTCTGGGACGAGCTTACAGCGGGGCCCCTCGCGCCCTTTGCCGCCCTCTGGGAGGATGACCTCGGCGTCGGCGGTCCCTCCGTCGAAGCCGCCGAAGGCCCGCTGCTGGGAGCCCTGCTCCCCAGGGTGTTCGCTGAAACGCCGATCCATGGGTTGGCTGGCGAGCACGAGGCCTACCGGGACGCCGCTGCCCAGCTTGCCGCCGCCGAGGCTTTTCTCCGCCGCCGAGGCCCTGCCGCCACCGTCTGGGATGCGCTCAACGCGTGGCCGATGCGCATGGCTCCCGCCTACCTGGAGCTACTCAAGCAGGATCGCCCCGGCGCGCTCCTGCTTTTGGCATACTACGCGACTTTGCTGCGCCCCACTCGCGGCGAATGGTTTCTCGCGGGGCGGGTGGAGAGCCTCATCGACGAAATTGCCCGTCGCTTGGAAGACACGTCCTGCTCAGCCCAATCATGGGACTTCTTTCTGGAGATCCGGAGGGAATACTTTCCGGAGGAAGCGCTGGCGAACCAGTAGGATGATTTACAACCCTGACGACGTACTGAATGGTGAATGGTAATATTCCACCATGCAACTCACCATGCAGATGGTAGGGGCAGGGTTCAACGACCTCTTAACATTCAAATATTCCAGCTGCAGTTGACGTTATGGCTTGTAAGCTGATACGCTCCTTGGGAGGACATGTGGCTTGGCCCGGTGAATCAACAGTAAGAGTAGGGGGAAATAGGAGTATGAGGTGGTGCACGAGGCACCCGCGGCACCTGCGGCATATTCATTGCCGTAAGTGACTCTCTTCACCTCTACCTTCGCCTCCCCCTCTTCCGCACCTATGTAATCCGCAAACCGATGGCTGATATTGATTCGCTTCGGGTCTGCTCCTTCAACCTCACGCTGTCGACGACTTTGCCCTTGCAGCCCTGAAGACTTCAACGCGACCAGCGGTTTTGACGATCCTCATATGTACATCTACGTCGCCTATGCCCACGAAATAGAGGGATAGGACCTTATGTATGGATCCGAGAAATTGTCGCGCTTGTTGGCGCCGAAAGAAGAGTGGGATCCTTATGGCTTCTTCAGCTGCAACAACGGATTGCTGCACTGAATGATTCGCACGGCCATGACACACCTCCCACATGTGCCGGTGGGATATCGCGATCAAGGATGGGGCGGAGGAATGCGAGGTGCAAAAGCCTGATCGATAGTCCTTGATCCCCTACTTTCAATCACTGCAGCTTTCGACCGTGGCCATAGCTCAATGTAATTTCTCCAAAAGTTAATCATAGCTGTAGCAATCGGCGAACAGTAACTAGTCTTAATTACGAAGCCGTGTCAGCTAGGTCCGGGTGCTTGTGAATTCCACCAGCTCTCGTGCCAGTTGCGCCAGGTCAACTCATTCTCGACTGCCCGCACGAAGTCCAAGGGTTGTGCCATGGTCTGCACTGTCTCCGTCTCCGTGACCAGCCCAGACTGCGTGCTGGGTGCAACTTGAGGTTGAAGCTGAAATGGAATCCCAAACGCATCGTCCAGTGCCTCCTCTGTCTGAAGCGGCATGATGGAGGCGAGGTTCTGGAGAGCCTCAAGCGGCGGCAAGTCTGCAGCAGTCGACGAACCGGCCTCTTGTTCGTTGGGCAACAGAAGTAATGGATTGTCCGGCGGCATGTCTGCGTAGCTGATGGTAAAAGCGGGCTTCTTTTGTCCCGAGTGAAATGCCCGGCAGACATCGTTCAGGGCACTCACGGCGTCGGCGATTGGGGCGAAGTCGGGGCGGATGACGGCTGCCGCGGCCATCATGTTTACAACCCTCTCGAGCGTGCGGAGGTCATTTTCGTACTCATCAGGTTGAGTAGAAGACAGGATGTGATAATACAGGGTGAAGAAGGCCCCGAAGGGATAGAATGTCAGAAAGCTTCGTTGGGTTAGCGGTGAATGTCCATTCAGAAGAAAGGCCAGGGATGCAAACTGACTGTGTCTGAAAGTCGTCCTGTTTCCCCCAGGGCGAGATTGGGGATTCCGACTTCTCGAGGATAATGCTGATGATAAGTCTAGCGGACCGAACTGCTTGTGGATGCACAATCTGCTCGGCGCTTGACACTTTCCGGTTTATGAAGATGATGAAAAGATGCAAGGCGATGACCGTCTCGAGAAAGAGCCAAGATTTCACCCGGCCCAGGTTGGGCGATCTGGCTAGTGATAAGAGGTCCCAGTCACTGACCAGCTCTTCTAGCTCCATGCAGCATGTATCGGCCGTGCTCCCGAGATGGTCACTGGCCGTACTAGACTCGACTTGATTAAAGAAGTTGGCCATGATGAAGAGGGTTCGGGACCAGACCAGGAACAGGATGCAGTTGTGGGGCTTGGGCTGCTTGGTTTGCGGTGATATCTCCGCTGGCAGTCGGACCTGGCCGATGGGACACCCCAGAGCCGTGGGCTTGTCGTACCAGGTTCTAAAGAGAAGGTCCATTTCGACCAGATACCAGTGCATTCGGCGCTTGACATCCTTTTCGGTTTCCTCTTGCGCAGTGCCCGTCGGGAGTGAATCTACATCGTGGATGCCTAGTAGGTCCCCGAAGCGACAAGCCTCGCGGTGGAACTGCCATGACAAATGGTAGTCGAAGTTGTTGATTCCCATCCATGCCTAACCCGCGTGTCAATTGTGACTTAGGAACATTTGCACAAATTTCACTCACCGTTAGGGAAGCAGCAATGAGATCCAGGTGCGAGCCTTGGGCCGAGGCCAGCCACTTCGGAACAACTTGGAGGCATCGATAGTAGGTTTTCGCTGCTGCTCTTTGTTCTGCACCTGTGCCAGCAGTTTGCCCAAAATATATCGCATTAAAGTAGATAACCTGCATGACTGGCTCAATCATGGCATACGGTGATCCGATGACATGGGGAATGGCTCGCAAGAATTCGGAATCAACGAGGGTTGCAAACGAGTCGAATATGCTTAGGTTGGGAAGAATGACTTCGAGGAATACTATCGCTTTGGTCAGTCTGGGAAATGATAGGAGCCATGTTGGAAATCAACTTTACCATCTATGAATCGCTTGATGTCGCTGACTGGCAAGCGGTTTATCGGTTCGTCGCGGACATTGTGATCGGGTCTAGGGCTTGGGGCAGCCAAATTGACCAGAGCCGTGTCCAGCCGGGTGATCGCGTTGTCGACAGTGGACCGCGTCCAGGACGACGAAGCTTCGCTGGTGAGGTGTTCAATGTTGTCCTTGGCTCCGCTGACCATGCGATAGATCCATGCTGCCTTCGTTAGCATGCATGTCTTAAATGGGAAAGCTGGGTTGTTTCATACTGCTACTGCGGGTCTCAGATGATTCGGTAGGAATATCCCTCGACTCTGCTTCAGTGTGCCGGTTGGTCTGGGTTGGGGGAGGTGTTGGTGGTGTAGTCCTTGGATGGGGTGTCTCTGTGCCTCCCATGCGCTCCTCCAGTGCCTCCAGCCGATGGCCCAGGTGGTGGAGCTCGGAGCTTCGAGTAGTCCGAGGCTTTCTCCTCTGCGGATATGAGCATGCGAGGCCGCTATCTAAGCATCTTTTACATTCGGGATCTTCTTTGTCGCATCGCAGCTAGGCCCCATCAGCAAGCCTTATGGATAGTCTGCAAAGGGGAAGGAAGAAGCGCAAACCTTCCTAGTTCTGCATCTCGTGCACTACAGTACAGTACATCCAGAATGTTAGCAGTCGTTTGGTTATGAATAGGGACTCAACGAGGGGATTCGAGGCTTACCGACAGCTTCATTCGAGTTGAGGGGTTGTAGTGGTACATTTGGGGGGAGACTACGAGGGCAAGTGAATGAATGCACTCGGACATTTATAAGTCCACCAGGCCGAGCGCCAAGCCGAGGAGAGGACAAAGCCCCGGGCCATCACGTGATCCCCGGGTCTGATGAATGAATTCATCATGAAGCCCAAGTTCTCAATGACTGAAGACTGCCTAAAGTTAATCCCTGAACATTATCTATGCACATAACGGAGTTTATCCAGATGCTTTATGTGGGCAAAAGAGAAGTACATGTTAGGTTAGACCCCAATACCAAGTATCCTATATATATAGCCTCGAATCAGAATCTCACGTGTTGTTCAGGTTAGGCATTGAAGGTGGAGGATCCATCACTGCCAAACCAGCGCATGGCCACTTCTTTGCAACACTCGATTGGCAGCTCGGTGTTTCAGATTCAGATAAGTCCCAAAGGCCGAGCGGATGAATCTTGGCCTGTGTGAGCATACTTTGTGATATCTTAAAATCTCCACTCCGTCCCAAGACGGTCCCCGCCGGTGCCCGCGGAGTCCGAACTTGTCTGATCAGCCACCATCCTGCCAGGTGGGAACTTCTTCATTCCCTCACAACGGACTTTCAGTGGGTCAAAGTGTGTCAAAGACCGAGTCCGACCGCAGGATGCCTACCTGCTGTGACTCGTGTGGGATTATAAAAATACTTCGAGTCCCTCAGGGGCCTAAGATCGATAAATTTGTTGAGTATGCGATAGAATTCGGTTTTACAGCAGGAATGGATTCCAAACCGGCCGATAATCGGCTCGCAGCCCTAAGCGACATCCACCAACCAACTCGCACGCCTGCGAGCAGTTGCGACTCGGACTCGGACGGAAAAGCGACCCTGGCTGAAAATCAGGGAGAGGCTGATCGTGATGTCACTCATTTGGCTCGCACATTGAGTGAGCGATCCAAGCTGTCACACCACCCGCTGCCCTTTAACAGAAATGATCTCGTTCTGGATCCACACAGTCCTCGATTCAACGCCAGAGCGTGGGCGAAAGCCTTTTACGATCTTCGCTACAAGTCCGATAACAGCGCCCCGGCACGCGTGGCCGGTGTCGCCATTAAGAACCTGAATGTGGTGGGGTATGGAAGTCCGGTTGACTATCAGATGAGCGTGGGGAATGCGGTGCTGAAGGTGCCAACCCTCATCCGCCAATTCCTGGGTGGGAAGAAGAAGAGAATCCAGATTCTTCGTGATGTGGACGGCTTGCTTCTCCCCGGGGAACAACTTTGTGTTCTAGGGCCTCCTGGATCGGGCTGCTCGACCTTCCTCAAAACCATTGCTCAGGAAACATATGGATTCCAGGTCGACCCGGCCTCGTACATCAACTACCAAGGGATCACCTCCAAACAGATGTCAGCCGACTTCCGCGGGGAAGCCGTCTATACAGCCGAGGTGGATGCTCACTACCCGCAACTGGTGGTTGGAGACACTCTGTACTTCGCGGCCCTTGCCCGTGTCCCCCGTCAAGTACCTGGTGGAATGTCTCGCCAGGAGTACGCCACCCATCTGCGAGATGTGATCATGTCAATCTTTGGGATCAACCATACAATCAACACCAAGGTGGGGAATGACTTCGTGCGTGGCGTCAGTGGGGGTGAGAGAAAGCGAGTTACCATCGCAGAGGCCGCATTGAGCTACGCTCCATTGCAGTGCTGGGATAACAGTACGCGAGGCTTGGATAGTGCCAATGCTGTGGTAGGTACACCCCAATGCCTACTCTAGGATATAATACTGAGCAATCTTTGGTGGTATAGGAATTCTGCCGGACACTACGCACGCAAGGCGATGTTTTCGGGGTGACCTCGTGTGTTGCCATCTACCAGGCACCCCAGGCGGCCTACGACGTAAGTTAGCTGAACACTCATATGCATCAGTTCTGACTAATCGGCTGTAACAGCTTTTCGACAAAGTCACCGTTCTGTACGAAGGACGACAGATCTACTTCGGCCCTGCCCAGGCAGCCAGGGATTATTTCATTCGCATGGGATTCATATGCCCCGAGGCACAGACGACTCCTGACTTCCTGACCTCCATGTCGAGCCCTGTTGAACGCGTCATACGTCCAGGATATGAGAACCTCGTGCCTAGAACGTCCGACGAATTCGTCAGGCGATGGCATGAAAGCCCTGAGCGCCAAGCTCTTTTGCATGACATCGACCAATATGTGGACGCACACCCATTCCACGCTTCGGACCTTGATCAATTCGCATCTGCTCGACAAGCGGAGAAATCCACGAAACAACGACGAAAGTCTCCATACACATTGTCCTACTGGGGCCAGATTCGGATTTGCCTCTGGAGGGACTTTCAGCGACTAAAAAACGATCCGAGTGTGACTCTCGCCATGCTGATTGGTAACTTCTTTGAGGCTTTGATTATATCCAGCGTCTTTTACAACCTTGCAAATGACACATCGTCCTTCTTCTCTCGAGGTGCCCTCCTCTTCATGCTGGTCCTCCTGAGCGCCTTTTCGAGCATGTTGGAAATCATCGTTCTGTACGAGAAGAGGACCATTGTCGAGAAACACAACCGATACGCCCTCTATCACCCAAGTGCCGAGGCCATCTCATCAATGATCATGGATATGCCTTACAAAATCGTGAACTCGTTGCTCGTCAATCTGGTGTTGTACTTTATGGGAAATCTCCGACGGACACCGGGGGCATTTTTCTTTCTGTACCTGATCGCATTCTCGATGATGATGGGCATGTCCATGTTCTTCCGGTTCTTTGCCTCCATTACCAAATCACTCGAACAGGCTCTCGCGCCCTCGTCCATCATTCTGCTCGCCCTCGTGCTGTATACGGGATTTGCTATTCCTGTCAGCTACATGCGAGGTTGGGCCTCGTGGATTCGGTGGCTGAATCCGGTCTCATATGGCTTCGAGGCTGTGATGGTGAACGAGTTTCATGGCCGGGAGTTTCCCTGTGCCTCCTTCATACCCTCCGGACCAGGATACGAACATGTTTCCAGCCAAGAGCGGGTGTGTTCGACTGTCGGAGCGGTTCCGGGGTCCGAGGTCGTCCAGGGCACCGCATTCGTGCGTTCCTCGTATGGATACGAGAACAGTCACCGATGGCGCAACTTCGGGATTATCATTGCCCTGACCATTTTTCTGGCTGTCTGTCACCTCGTCACCTCCGAACTAGTTTCTAGCCAACGCTCCCGAGGCGAGGTGCTCGTCTTCCGGCGCAACAAAGTGCAGAAGGCTCTGTCAGTGCAGAATCAGAAGGATGAGGAGCAGGGGCCTGGTCCCGTGGTGCAAAGTGACAAAGCCCCCAGCCAGGGGTCGGGAACTCTCTCTGGAGTCGAGAAGCAATCATCAATCTTCCACTGGGAGGACGTGACCTACGACATCAAGATCAAGGGTGAGCCACGACGCATTTTAGATCATGTCGACGGTTGGATTCGGCCGGGTACTCTGACAGCACTCATGGTAAGCAGTGGTACCTCCATCGTACTCTTTGGCTAAACCAACAACGACGAACAGGGTGTCTCCGGTGCCGGGAAAACGACCTTATTGGACGTATTGGCGAGTCGCACGACGGTCGGTGTCATTGGTGGCAATATGTTGGTGGATGGTCGTGTTCGAGACGAATCCTTCCAACGTAAAACCGGCTATGTGCAGCAACAAGATCTTCACCTCCACACCTCGACGGTCCGTGAAGCCTTGGAGTTCAGCGCCCTGCTCCGACAGCCACCCCAGTACAGTCGAACTGAAAAGCTCGCGTATGTTGAAACTGTCATTAACCTTTTGAATATGCGGGAGTATGCGGATGCCATCGTGGGCGTACCAGGAGAGGGGCTCAACGTGGAGCAGCGCAAGCGATTGACAATTGGAGTGGAACTGGCTGCGCGTCCTAAGCTGCTGCTTTTTCTGGATGAGCCAACCTCGGGGCTGGACAGTCAGACCAGCTGGTCTATCTGCAACCTGATGGAGACCCTGACCAAGAATGGACAAGCCATTCTCTGTACAATCCACCAACCGTCTGCCATGCTGTTCCAGCGCTTCAATCGACTGCTTCTACTGGCCAAGGGGGGCAAGACGGTGTACTTTGGGGAGGTGGGAGAAGGATCGCAGGTCCTTATGGACTACTTTGTTCGCAATGGAGGATCAGCCTGCCCCCCGGGGGCGAATCCAGCAGAACACATGCTGGAAGTCATTGGGGCCGCTCCAGGAGCGCAGACGGAGATCGATTGGCCTGCGGTCTGGAGAAACAGTCCCGAATATCAAGATGTGCAGAAGGAACTGGCCAAGCTGAGGGAATTGGCCAACAAGCCTTCGCCGCTCTCCGATCCAAATGACAAGTCCAGCTATGCCGAGTTTGCGGCACCTTTCTTCGAACAACTGATTCAGGTCGCCCGTCGGGTCTTCCAGCAGTACTGGCGCTCGCCGTCTTACATCTACTCCAAGGTGGTGTTGACTGTTGGCTGTGTAAGTCTGAACCCTTGGACAGCCTGGGATGGTGGTAATCGACGACTAATCGCATCTTTGCATTTCACAGGCGCTCTTCATCGGGTTCTCCTTTTTCAAAGCAGACAACACTCAACAGGGGCTACAGAACCAGATGTTTGGCGTCTTCGTGTTTCTGTTCGTCGTTGTTCAGCTGGTGATGCAAATCATCCCATCCTTCGTCACGCAGCGGACGCTCTACGAATCGCGCGAGCGGCAGTCCAAGACCTACGCATGGCAAGCCTTCATTCTCTCCAACATCGCGGTGGAGTTCTTCTGGAATACGGTCCGTCCATTGTGTATTAGGTCCTGTCTATTATTACCACTAACCACCTCGTTCAGATCATGGCAATCTTATCCTTCCTGGTCTGGTACTACCCCGTCGGCCTGTACCGTAACGCGGAATATACCGGCGAGGTTCACACCCGGGGGACGTTGACTGTGCTCATCATCTGGGCTGTCTTTCTCTTCTCGAGCTCGTTCGCGCACATGTTGATCTCCGGGATGGATAGTGATCAGCTGGCATCGGCACTGTCCAACATTTTGTTCATTATGATGTATGCGTTCTGCGGCATCCTGGCGGGTCCCGATGCTCTTCCCGGCTTTTGGATCTTCATGTACCGCGTCAACCCCTTTACCTACCTCGTCTCCTCCCTGCTATCGGCAACCTTGGGCGATGCCCCCATGCATTGTGCCGACAACGAAGTCCTCTCCTTCTTCGCTCCCTCCGGAATGAGCTGTGGCGAATACATGCAAGATTACCGCTCCGCCCATGGGGGCTATCTTCTCAATCCGGACGCCCGAGGCAGCGACGAGTGCAATTTCTGCAGTTTAGAGTACACCAATCAGTACCTGGCCGGCCTGAATATCAATTTCGCCAACCGGTGGCGCGATTTTGGTCTGCTGTGGGTGTATATTGTGGTCAATACCGTTGGAGCCATTGCTTTCTACTGGATCTTTCGTGTTCCTAAGGGAAAGAAGGCCAAGAAGGAATGATTTTGAGGCCCTTGTTCCAGTCCATCTAGTTCATCCTCTTCGCACCAGTGTCTATAGACTGATTCTTAGGACTCATCCTGCTGAATTGCGTTGTGTTCTTCTCTGCGGGTCACATCGCTCGTACACATTAATACTTCATATATTTTCAAGTGCTTTGTATGGTTCGTTATCTGGAGGGGATCGGGGTAATTAATAGCTAGACTACATTTAAACTCCCCATAGGCTTCCACCCCCTGCATATTCCTTCTCCGATAGAGCCTTAGTTCACCCAAAGCTTGATCCACCAGCCTTGATGCCCTGATGACGTGTCCCGGCACTTCCCGATGGGGTGGAGATACAGGGGTCATGCCCATCTGGCTCGGCCTGTGACTTGGATTTCTGCGTTCAGCGTTGCTTCTCGCCATCCTCCAGCAGTATCACAAGAGACCAGCCGGATCAAACAAAATGAGTTACTTGTACCGCAGCACGACATTTATTATGGTCAAAGAGACCACTTTTACCGACACGCAAGACGGGCTAAAGAATCTCGCCGACTTTATAGGACGGCACCATGGAAGCGGTTACAGGCATTACTCTAACGTTCTTGGACCGTCATTGCGTATACACCAGCAGATGTCTTCCAATAGCTCGCCCTAAAGCTATGTGAACATGGCAAGAAACCAAACAGCCCGTGTCAGCAAGTTGCTGACTGAAAGCAGCCCCGCATTCCATGGCGTGATTTAGTGGGATTTAGCGTCTAGTAGTCTCTCATCCTTGCAAAAGACACCACATATCGTGTCCTCAGTTTTGCCAGCCTCTCTGCACAACCAGTCAGCCACAGCCATGCAAGCAAAGTCTGGGCGTCAACGAGCGCGGGCCACTCGCTCAAGAACCGGCTGTCGAACTTGTCGGTAAGTAGTTCGATCCTCTGACGCCGGCCACTGACCGCGGACCATATCGTCTGTGTTCTCAACATCACTCCTCAGAGCCCGCCGGATCAAGTGCGACGAGACGCCAGGGAGATGCCAAAATTGTACGATGGCGGGCTGGCCCTGTGAGGGCTCGGATCTCAACCGCTTACCGGGCAAAGCGACGTATAGCGCCCAGGACGCGGCACTGTTGCCGTCGGTGGCGGCGCAGTTCCCTTGGACTATCACCTCCGACGAGAAACGCTGCTTCTCCTTTCTCTGGCATCATCAGATCCCCACCTCGGTGGTTGTCTCGGGGGTGTCCGACCTATTCTCGCCGCAGAACCTTGTCGGCCAACTGAGCGCTGTCGAGCCGGCCGTCTACCATGCCCTTGTAGCCTTAAGTGCCATCAATCACCAGGTGCATGAAGCGGGGATTGCAATTCCCGGACAGTCGCTGCGTAGTCAATGGCATTACTTCGCCCTGGAGCAGTCGCTGCGCTCATTTGCTCTTCTGAAGCACCGGTCTGCCTCCCAAGATCCACGTCTTCGCCAGGTGGTCCTGGTCTGCTGCCTGCTTTTCGTGCTGATGGAGCTGGCGTCCGCCCGCTACGACGACGCCAACACGCACCTGCAAGCGGGGCTGAAGATTCTTAACGAGGGGGCGCTGTCTTTGTTATCCATAGACCCAGCCCTCTCCGACGCCTTCCTCTACCTGGAATCGCACTCGGCGTTTCACGGAGTCCACCGGCCCTTCCGCGAGCTGGACACCCAATTCGCCCGCCTCGAGACCTTCGAAGCCCAGCTGCAACCATTTCGGGATGTCGAGCACGCGCGTCGGGCCCTCAACCCTCTCGTACCTACCATCTTCCGCCTCCTGGAACAGTGCTGGAGCCTGTCCGAGACCAACCTCGCACGCCAATACGGCGTCTTGCAGCCCAAACAACAGCGCCTGCTGTCCTGTCTGACCCAAGTCAGATCCTACTTCGACGATTTCCTGACAACGTATCCTTACTTCACCGACCGCGAGCGACGCTCGGCCGACGTGGTGCAACTGAGTCTGCAGACCTTCACTTTAACCCTGAAGACCTGTCTGCACGGCCCGTGGGATCCTGCATTACACCCACTGTGCCCGGAGTTCGAGCATCTGATGGCGAAGACTGTAGCCCTGAACGCGCAAATGGGGACCCGCCCGCAGTTTACCCCGGATGGGATCCTCTGCGCTGCCCTGAGTTTCCTGGCGCTGCGATGTCCGGATTACCCCATCCGTCTGCAGGCTATCGCTGCACTCCGGGCGTCTCCTCGCGCAGAGGGGTATTATAACGGCCTAGTGGTGGCGGAATTCGCCATCAGTGGATTGAAGCTCGAGTTGACCCACTCCACGTCGGGATCGATCAAGCAAGATACCGGGCAGCAACGGCTACGGTTTGAGAAATCGCCCCGTCCTCAAGGCAGAACCGTGGAGGAGCTTCTCGGTCTGCGGCAGGATGAGCACTTGCTGGGGTCGATTGCGACCCTGCGAGGCGCCTCGGATTGGCTGTCCAACCAGTCGGGCGGGGAGGTCCAGACGGAGTGCTCAGAAATCGGCGGGCATCAGGTCTGGTATCTCAACACGTCGAATCCTGGGAGGGTGACGCGGGGAGAGGGAGCCAGATAGCGGCCGTGGATGTATAGTACTGACCACGGAACGGAGCCTCTCGTAGTGATACAGTGAATTCAGATAGCGCTAGGGATATGTACATGCTTCCAACACAAACGTCTAATCAGTCTTTTCTTCATCGCGTCTAGATTGCTACTTTTACGCCGACTTGGCGACCTCACCCTTGACCCAGGCCTCCAGACCGCCAGCGGCGATGATCGCCTGCACGTTGGCGGGCAGCTCGCCCACCGGCTCCGTCCAGCTCTCTCCGCCCTCACCCTCCTGCACCTCGACCTGGCTGCGCTTGACGTCCCACGTCAGGGTCCAGCCAGTGCGGCGGGTGGGCTGGCGCTCAGCACCGGACGGCTGAGCGAAGGTGGCGCGGAGGCGCTCGACGAGGCGGGGCACCTCGAGACCCATCAGGGCGTTGTTGATACTGTTGCGGGAGAAGATGTTGCCGAAGCTACCAGCAACAACCAGCGGGATCTGCTTGGCCAGGATGGCGGTGGCGGCCTGCTCGCGGGAGGATCCGCAGCCGAAGTTGAAGCCGGCGACGAGGATGTCGCTGGGCTTGGCCACGTCCTTGAACTCGGGGTCGTAGTTCATCATGCAGGCGCGGGCCATGTCCTCCTTCGAGACGTTGTCCTGGTAGGTGAGCTTGCCGGGGTAGATGCTGTCGGTATCGAGGTTGTCGGCGTCGCAGAAGACGATCTCGCCGCTGATGCGCTCGGGGAAGCCGGGCAGGATCTCGGTGGCGGCCTTCTCCGTCGAGCCCTGGGCGGTCTCCACCCGGTCGATGAAGGACTCCATCTGCTCCAGGAGGTTGGTAAGCTGCTGCTCGGTGGTGGGCTCCGCACCGGTGCCGAAGCCGTGGTCCACCCCCAGCCACTCCTCCGGGGGCACCTGGAAGGTCCCGGGGCCGGAGATCATGCCGCTGAGCGCACTAGCCGCGACCACCTCGGGGCTGGCCAGGTAGGCCTGCGCGTCACGCGAGCCCATGCGACCCTTGAAGTTGCGGTTACTGGCACTGATTCCCACCTCGCCGGGCTCCAGAAGACCGGTTCCAAGGCCGATGCACGGACCGCACCCGGCGGGAAGCGGCTGCGCGCCGGCATCCAGCAGGATCTGCCAGTCGCCAGTGGATTCGGCAGCCTCCTGCTCGGGAGCGGAGGCGGCCGCGATGTAGAACTTCACGCCGTCGGCGATCTTCGGGGTGACGTCGCCGTTCGCCTTGGCTGCGGTGCGGAAGACCTGCGCGGCGGCGGCAATATCCGAGGCGCGGGAGTTGGTGCAGGAGACGACGTAGGCGCGATTGACCTTGATGTTCTGGGCGGCCAGCTCAGCCAAGGGGGTGGCGACCTTGACGGAGTTGGGGCCGGAAACATAGGGAGAGAGAGTGGAGAGGTTGAGGTACAGCTGCTTCGCATACTGGGCATCGGGGTCCGCGGTGAGGGGGTTGGCGAACAGCTCCTCGATTCTCTCGTGCGTGATGCGCTCGCGAGTGGAGCGGTCATCAGACAGGGCGGCGACGGTCGCCTTGTACCGGAGCCAGCGCTTGAGGGTGGTGTCGATGGGGAAGAGACCGGTGAGCGCTCCCCACTCGGTGGTCATGTTGGCAATCGTCAAGCGGCTGTCGACGAGCAGACTGGCCATGGTCTCCTCGGAACCAGTGAACTCGATGGCGTGGTTCAGGACGTCGCTCTTGAAGAGACCACACAGCGCAACAATCACGTCCTTGCCGGTCACACCCACGGGGAGCGTGCCCGTGAAGGTGACCTTGGCCACGGGGGGAATCTGCCACCAGGTGCGCGAGGTCGCCCAGATACTGGCCGCGTCGGTGCGAACCACGGCGGTTCCCAAGCAACCGACACCACCGTAGTGGTTGCTGTGACTGTCGGAGGCGACGGCCATTGTGCCGGGCCACGCGTATCCTTCCTCCACCATCACCTGGTGTCCAATACCCCGTCCTGCAGGATAAAAGTCGATACCGTGTTTGCCGGCAAACTCCTCGATTTGCTGATACTTCTTGAGATTCTGGGGGCTGGTGTTTTGAACGTCGTGGTCGAGGGTCATGACGATCTGCTTCGGGTTGTGTACCTTGGTGGCCCCCATGGACATGAACTTGAGAGCCACAGGCCACGAGTTGTCATGCGTCATGCAGTATCCGGGAGCCAGACTAATGTAGTCGCCACTGCGAACGAACTTTCCGGGGGGGAGACCGACGGCATAGCGTTGCACGATCTTCTCGGTCAGGGTCTGCGGTGTACGGGTCTCGGAGGGCGTCGTCGAAGGGGCCTGGTCTTGCTGCGAGTGGAAGCCCTCGGCTCTAACAACGGGGGTCGTGCTCAAGGCACGAATGGAGCGAAGGGGGAGAGATGTGGCGACAGATCGTGGGGGGAGGGGGAGGGCGATTCTCCTGCTGGAGGCCCCGAGCGACGGAGTACACCGAAGCCGAAGCTGGAGGGGTTGGGAGTTAGATCAGGTTGGATTAGATCAAGGGAATTGGAAGAGTCAAGGAAGGTTTAGCGACTCACCGGCCGGCGCAGCAAATTGCAGAGCTGCCTTGCCATGTTCTTGTTCGATGTGATCGATTGAACACGGGGAAAGAGAGGTTATGGAGAAGGAGGAGGAGGAGGAGGAGGAAAGGAAGGATTGAGTCACCCTCAAGAATTTTGCCGGTTTTCTCCTGGCGCCGATCTCGCAGGGGCGGACAATGCGAGGGCGAGAAGCGCAGAGCCCCGTCACGTGGTCTGGGGTAATCCCAGCCAGTCGCGCCACACCATTTCTAAGCACTGTGCTGCCTGAGGCCGCTATCAGGGCACATGCCCCACATGACTCATTCCGATAACTAAAGCGGTTTCAACTTGATTCACTTATATACTTAATATACTGTACTTGGTACTTTTATGCTGCGTACATAAACTACTACTGTTACATCGAATATCTCAACCATGCATCTATATATACAACACCAGCACCCTATGCGATCGATATCGAGGAACACGGAAATCGCTTCTGCAGTTCCTCAAAGATATCAGCCGCACTAATGGCATAGGTGGTAAAGTCCTGGTCATCTTGGCCCACGATCATGGCAAACAGGGAGCCATTGTCTCCTCCATCCACCACCCACGCTCCAACATCTTCCGCAAAGGAAACCATACTCAATTGATACGCCACCGGAGGATCGGTTTCTGCGACTGACAGACTACTCAATCTTCCAGACACGTCGGTTCGGACCGGGGGACGAGCGCCGTTGCCCAGCAAGCACCACAGCTGGCCTCGGGGCGAGCTTCGGGTGACCTTGGATGGTGAGAGCACTTGCCACCCCCCCACCGTGACACGATTCGACTGGGGGGCTTGGTCACACAGTCGAAACAGAGCCCAATTCTGTCGAACCGACCAGAAGGCGGGGTTCAACTTCCTCGTACCTTTGTAGCGGGGCAGATAGGCCACCGCGTGCGGGTCTTCGCGGTCCAAGGAGTTGGCGTTGTACATCGCGCGGGACCGGAACGAGGCCCAACGCATTTTGAGCTGGCTGGGGGAAGGTTTCAGAAATGGATGCAGAGCAGTCAGTGCATAGTACTCGCCATCAATCGCTACAATGCCTCCAATGGTCGCTGTCTGATCGAAACCCCGTCCAACCCTGACGCGAGTGCCACACAGGCTCTCTCCCTTCCATGAGTCAATTCTGTAACCCATCTCGGAAAGTGGTGTAGTGCGCGGTATTGCTTGAGATGCTTGCGATGCTTGGTATTCTTGGTACAGGTACTGGATCAATGATTCCAAATCCAGATCGGGTCTATTTATGCTTGGTCGGATCTCATTGCCCTTTGTTGCTCTCGGGTTGCGCGAGATACGGATCCCAACGATAGTCAGCCGTCGCTTTGTCCCCGTCACCCTGGTTTCTTTATGTCTATCCGGAGGGTTTATTCTCTTACTTTCAACCGCGCATTGTCGTGATGGGCAATGACTCTTTGAAAACACTTGATGAACCCAGACCCAGTATTAGAGCGACAACATTGACTGTTCAATAATCTAACGGATGATGACGTCCAGCACCGCCGACGTGGTCTCGTCCACCACAACCCTAATCGCCTCAGTAATAGCTTCATCCAGCTGGCCTACACACTCCACACGCTTCGTCCACAGGTTTCCATTAGCTGCAGCCTTAGCAATGCCCCCATAGTCGGGTCCATCCGCAACGAGAGAAATTCCCAACTCTTCTTTCGACAACCCAGCCGCAACACCGGTCGGGTGTACATCCTTCAGGCATTGACTGGTGGCATTCCACCCTCCATTGTTCAAGATAATGGTCAGGAAGGGGCACTGGTAGCGGTGACTGGCCCAGAAGACGGCCGTCGGAACCGAGAATACAAAGCTTCCATCTCCCGTGATGCTGCACACGAAGGGACGGGGCTCTGACGACGGGTCCCCCGCAGCCTTCTGCTGGACCACCGGTCGGTTGGACAGATCATACCGTGCCGCGGCCAGCTGTACCCCGATTGCAGCGCCGCCCGCCCAGCCCAACCCGCTGCCTCCCTTGGTAAGATGCGAGCCTGGTCGGTGCAGACGGAGCTGCTCCGTCATGGCTACCTGGTTGGTGACTGAGTCGGTCACAAAGACCGTCTCCCGGGGGAGCAGTTCGCGGACGCGACTACACAAATAGTCTACACTGCAGGGCACATCCGGCGTCGACAGCAGTGCGGCCCCACGGGCATCGACCTGTGCCTGGCCCTTATCGTACGCTGCCTTCCGGGCCTCGGCGCGCGCTTGCCAGCGTTGACTGGCTCGCAACTCGGACAACTGGGCAGAGGCAGATATGTAAGCAGTGAGCTGACTCAACGCGGCTGCCGTGTCGGCGTGGAAGGTGAGAGACGCATTGATGTCGAAAATATTCATGCGTTCTTTTCGCGGGTCGAGATCAATGTGGATGACCTGGGCGGTGGGAGTAGGGCGCACGCGCGTGGGAATCCACGGCACATCAGCGTCCAGCACTAGAATCACGTCGGCCGATTGCACTGCCGGAGCTGCCCCCGTACCTCGCGTCACACAGGCTGGATGGGTGGCGGGGAAGCTCATCTCACGAAGCTCCGAGTCGAACACCCGCAGGCTGGAGATCATGTCGGCCAAGTTGATCAGCTCTTGGACGGCACGGTGATTGCGACCCAGGTACCCGGTGATCACCAGCGGGGCTTCCGCAGTGAGCAGCGCTGTACTGATTATCTCTACTTGTTCGGCCGGCAGGGAGCCCAGGAGACACGATGGTGCAGCCTTACGCCGCAGAGCATGGTCGCCAGAAGGCAGCGCAGTGGCAAGAATCTCCCGTGTCGCCGTCAGATAGACAGGCCCCGGGGAGCCTGTCGTGGCCATCAGCACTGCGCGACGCACCACAGTGAACACATTGTGCGGGGACTTGATCTCGGCACTGTATCGGCTGTACGGCGCCACGAGCGCAGCTTGATCGCGAATATCTTGGTACCACTGCACATGCTCCGATCGCGAGCCCGGAGCCTCCCCGAGAAAGGTGGAGGGGGCAATCCCTGCCAGAATCACCACGGGGGCTCGCCCGCTGGATGCATTGTGTAGCCCCTGGCCCAGAGCGGCCGTCCCCACATCAACGTGGGCAATCACACACGCTGGCCGGTGACTGATTCGTGCGTACCCATCGGCCGCTGACATGGCTACAAACTGATGGTTTGCCAGTCAGTACATGCAAGGAATATCTCGTCAGTGGGGAGCAATGGCTGACCTCATGCTGAAACAGAATCATTTTGGGATACTGCCGTGTGGGATCATTCTGTCGGCGCACATATGCCTCGATAATGCTGGGGTGATCCGATCCCAGTACGGTGAAGAGGTAATCTACGCCTGCCTGGTCGATGTCAGTGTGGATTCAATTTCATCCTTGGTGGGATGCACTACCTGGGCCAGAGCTTCTAACAGCTCATCTGCCACGGTCGGGTCAGCTCGGTTTTCTGCTTGGTTATTCTGAGACATGTTGGTACTCAAGGTCTCTGGAAAGAAGAAACAATGATCTTTTTTTTTCCTGTTCTTCTGCCTTTCCCTCAATGCCTCTTATCCCTGCTAACAGCGTTCGGCAGATGTGTAATACCCTCCACCCGGGGACATATTACAGACCCGCACTGATAGCAGGCCTGGAATTCCCATTGTGAATAATCATTGAGGGAATGAAATTGGCCCGCGAGATGAGTGGAGCCCCGACGGATCAGGCCATGGCAGCGCTAGGGAAGAGATGGTGGTTTGAACCCCCTGTCAAAACAAGCACTTAGGGCTCGATAGGCCGGGCTAACCCGGCCGCTCTCCACCCCGATCCACCCACCCCATTGCGCTATCGAAAGCCTTCTGAGACACTCAATCTGCACCACAATTTGCTGTCCGGTGAATCTGCCATCTAGGCTTTAGCCTGGGCGACTAAAGTACCCCGTGGCAATAACAGCAAGAGTGTCTCGTTACCGATGGAAGGTTGGGGGAGACAAACCACCAGAAAAAAACAAGAAAGAAAGAAAGAAAGAAAGAAAGAAAAAAAAAAAAAAAAAGATTAAAAAACGAAAAGAAAAGATAGAAAGGAGAAATATCTGGAATTAGGAACTGCTACAAACATACTCAACATATCCTTGCTGGTCTCTATAATACCGGTCCTCATTTTGGTGCCGGTTCACTGTGCATGTCAATTGCGGTAGTGAGAATGATCTGGCCTTTGGCAATGGCCCCCTGGCTTCCGACGCTCTCGGAATCTGCATCGAGATCGTGTCTTTCCACCCGCCATTCTTGGCCGAGCTGCGTGCCCTCCTGGGACTCCAGTCGGCTCATGCGATAGCTCCGCCCCGTCCTGGTTCTGGTGGCTCGACTGCGCGACTTGCGCGATCCAGTCGAAAGCGAAACAAACCAACTGGGAACCAGCTTCTGAGCAGAGTGCTTCAGGAACGGTAGGCAGGCGCAAATAATACCCGTACTCGCCTCAATGGCACTCCACAGCAAGGCATCGAATGAGCCCCAGGTCGGGTCGTGCGTGGTGGTGCTCGCCTCCATCGCCCACATTCGAATGATACTCGTGATGCATACGAACAAGCCCATGCAGAACACGAGCATCACGCCGATCTTGCGGATGCGGTCAAGATGCAGTTGTGCGAGCACAGGCAGCGGCAGCACGCAGACCCAGATGTCCATCGCCGTGTTGTAGCCCGCCCACGACCATCGGAAGCTCGAATTGTCCACACACTTCTTGGGGATATTCTTGTGCCAGCTAGCATGTACCGGGATGCATTGAAAGATGGTCGCGAGGACAAATCCGAAGGTGCTGGAAATGACGAGACCGATGGTCACCCAGCAAATTATGCGAAATGGTCGCGTTGGAAAGATTCGCAGGTAGAAGGCCAGGAAGCTGAGCTTGTTGAGGCAGAGGACGGTCTTGTACAGAATTTGGAAAAGCCAGAAATACTGCGTGGGGAAACTCGAGTTAGAATCGCCTTGAACCTTGAAGAGAATGATCGAGCAAACCTTCAGCGCAAGTACCAAATTGCCCCCTGACCGCACGACATCGGCGCGATGACGACCAAAAGCATAGTGGCACGCTGCATCGTAGAGCACAGTCAGTATTAATAGTCACTTCTTCAATGTCCAACGGTTACGAAGATCAGCCCTACCCAAGTCACCCATCACGGTATTCACAATCTGTATGACCTGGTTCTCCTGTCAGCAGAGGCTCCCTCCAGTTGCAACGCAAACCATACCATTGAAACCTGGATGATCACATCATCTGCCGAGATGGCAGTTTGTCTGTACACCTTCCAGAGCACCCTATGGGCGACCAAGATGAATGCAATGACGGTCAAAGCCCCGGTAACCCTGATGAACAGGGGACCCTTATCCGGGACATCGACGGCATGCTCAGTCATAACGCTTCTGTTCGTCTTCCTTCGAGTAGCATGCCAGGAACGAAGAGAACGATGATGGGTAGGCCCTCGTCATGTAAGGCTCTGTCGCAACCCTAGAAAAGGGATCGAAGGATTCCCCTTGTACAATGAAGACAGGGCTGGCGGCTCAGTACGCCAACGCGCGTGCTTAGAGAAATCATCTTTCTGCAATATCTGCACCTAATTACTGTCTCGGCACGGGTCCGTCTCCCTCAGCCATGTTACTCCGTGCATGGGAGACTACATCACTTCTGCGTGCCGATACTTGGTCTGCGCTGTCTGCTTACTCTGGCTAGACACCTCCTTGTGGAGCAAAGATCAAGAACGATTGGTTCTCACTCATGGAGACCAGCCAAATTGCACCATTGAGTGTAATTTATGATCGGGTTTACCCCTCTACACTAATGCCACGCAGATGTCTCGGGTCTTCATGTGCAGCCAGTGGATAACCTCTCATTCGATATGAGAAACAGATCATAACTATTTTTCGCTTGGTTCAAGCATATGACGCAGATACTGGAAAATAGCTCGAGTAGACGACACTTGGGCCCAAACACCGTGCTATGGGAGCGCAACGGCTGCCAGAAAATTTCTCTGTTGCACTATAACGATGAGTCCTTAATTGTAGGTGTGGGTCCGAAGGGAGAGAGGAGAATCGGGGGGTTGTGGACGGGACGGGGGGAGTCCGGACGATTTCCGCGCTGAGGGTCTCCGTGTAAGAACCCTATGTGGTCAATGACCCTGGCGTCTAATCACTTAGTTTAGACTACCTAACTTACTTGGTGGAGTTTGGGTAAATTGTCCGACGAATGGCTGTCTTTGCCCATCCATTCTTAATTATCCTACCGGGCCGAGTGCTTGAAATGGAGCCACTAGGGCTGACTATCATGTTTAGGGTCATTTTAAGTCCGTCATGATATATTGCCGTGGGTCAAATGCTCAACGCCCACACCACTTCGCTGCACACACCCCATGAGTAGTGGCAGGCCACACCTTCATCAATAATGAGACGATGAAAAGAAGTCTGGCCTACAATCAATCAGCCGGAGATTGTCCAGTCACTGTATGATGGCTTGACCTAAACCCTCCCTTGCCACCCCTGACAGCCCGGAAATTCCGACCTGGGTTTCATCTACAAAAGCCGACATGTCGCGCCACGTGCATGGGTGTTTGCTTTCTCTCGTAGTTTCACTTTTTCTGTCGACCGTTATCTCACAAGGCTACAGGCATGGAGAAGCACGAGATTGAGCCCCGCGTGGTTGAGGCGTCGACGCCAGACTTTGATCCCGCTTTGGAGAAGAAGCTGCTGCGAAAGCTGGACTGGCGAGTCGTCCCAGCACTATGGTTTCTCTTCTTAGTGTCTTTCATGGATCGTTCCAACATTGCGTGAGTGCTTAGCTGCCTTCTAGTTTATGTTGATGCACCGAATCCTAACCATTGGGGTTCGATGTAGAAATGCGAAGATCGCCGGCATGGCGAAGGAGCTGCACTTGGTGGGAAATGACTACAATCTCGCTGTAACCATGTTCACGGTCGCATACGTCGTCTTCGGAATGCCGGCCAATCTGCTGGTCAAGAGATTTGGCCCAAGGATGCTGGTCCTATACATGTTTACTTGGGGTGAGAGCAATCGCTCCAGTCGGGAGGGATGGACTATGCTGACTTGGTGGGCCAACAGGGCTGTTTGTGATGGGACAAGGTCTCACCAAGACTGCGACGGGTCTCATTGCGTGTCGATTCTTTATGGGGATGTGTGAGGCAGGCTTTGTCCCTGGTTAGTTCACACCAGGCCAAGCTATTGGCGATGCATGAATATTCATCTGACCTTCCATTGCCAGGTTGCGCATACCTGATCGGGAGCTACTACAAGCGGGACGAGTTTCTGCGTCGATACGCAATCTTCTTCAGTGCCAACATGGCGGCAGGAGCATTCAATGGGGTAGGCTTTTTTGTCTATCATGCTTACTCTCAACACGTCTGTCTGACTGGCTCGTTAGCTTTTCTCAAGTCTCTTGACACACTTGGAGCTGGATGGATATGCAGGGTGGAGATGGTATGGATCCCTTGACCTTGGCGCGCATATCGTCTTTTCTGACGCGAGATTAGGCTGTTTTTGATCGAATCCATCATCACCATGGGCGTCAGCATCATTTGCTACTGGATTGTCGTTCCCTTCCCCGAGGACGCGACATTCTTGACCCCGGAAGAGAAGGCATTGCTGCTTGCCCGTCTGGAGGCCGATGGAGGAAGCATTCGTGATGACCCCATTTCCCTCCCTCGGGTCCTGAAGATGGCGATGGACTGGAAGATCTGGATCTGGTGAGCATAACTCGCATGATGAAGATCCGAATCACACACTGACGTGGAGACCAGCGTTCTGGCCTATCTCGCCGCCGAAGAAAGCGCCAGCTCTTTGGTGTACTTCCAGCCCACGATTCTCAAAGACCTCGGTTGGACCAGTCGCTCAGCGCAGGAACACAGCATCCCCGTCTACGCAGTCGCCTTTGTGCTTACCCTGTCAAGCGCGTGGCTGAGTGACTATCTCCGCCACCGCTATCTTTTCACTCTGTTCGGCTCGGCGCTCGTCATAATCGGCTGGAGTATCGAGCTTGCGCAGGTTCCCTCTGCCGGAGTCCGTTACCTGGGCATGTTCTTCGTGGCGTCGGGCGCGTTCATCATGATGTCCATTACTGTGGTGTGGTTGTGCATCAACCTCGGCAAGGGCGTCAAGCGCAGTGTCGGAATGGGCTTGCTGCCCGCGTTCGGCAACTGCGGTGCGTTTGTATCCGGCAACGTCTTCATCACCAGCGAAGCGCCCAAGTATCCTACTGGGTTTGGGGTTGGTCTGGCGTTTGCGGTGGTGGCAGGACTCGCCTGCACCGTGTATTTCTTCGCTCTTCGCGCCGAAAACCGCCGCCGGGAACGCCAGCCGGAGAAGGACTGGCAGTCGGAGAGCATGCAGGATCTGGGCGATGCTCACCCGGGCTTTCGTTTCCAGTTGTGAGCTCCATGTGCTGGCGCATAGTCATGTTCGATGAATCATCTGATATGAAATGATGTTTTGTCTTTTGGTCCCGTAATAATGTTAACCATGCGCCGGTCGACTTATTTGGCCGTTTGGGTAACTGCATACCAACCCTGCTTTGCTTTGCTATCCGGTCAACTCGTCGCATAGATAGATCCTAGTCCTTCACCATGCCCAGTGAGCCCGCATATGCGGGATCTTCATCTGGGTAAACATTTGATAATGTTTAATGGTCGGGCTGGGCCGGACCATGGAACCTCGCGGCGTCCATGACGTCGAAAGCCAAGCCCCAACTTCACCATTCTTTTCTCCACATTTTGCCTCCCCTGCATTCCGCATACCTCATTCTCCAGAACTCCAACCCTCAATTCCTCCAATTCCAGACAAACCCCCTGTCTCGTCGCGCTGGACCGCAATGGTGACCGCTGCCTATCCAAATGATCCCGGTCCACGATCAATATCTGCGCACCATCAGTTTGGTGACGCAGATCCTGTGCTGCAGCATCACCACCCTTTGCCTGGCCCTGCGCCTGCTGGTTGCTTCCCGGATCAAGCGAGATTTGAACATTGAGGACGGTTCGTGACATCCCTTTTCCCGGACTGCTACCCAATCTAATCTCGTATACCAGCATTTTGCACGCTATCCTGGGTAAATCACCTCTACCCGCCGCCCACCGGCCCATCACCTCTAACATTGGGCTGCAGGTCCTGTTCTTCACCTACTGCATCTGCAATATCTTTTGTAAAATGCCCATCCACCACCTCGAAGGGGTCAGGTCCACTAATTGAACGACGGCAGACCTCCATTATGGCGGCGGCAAACCCCTCGCCCTACTGACCCCCTACCAAATCCGGCTCGTCTACAAGGCAGGCACCATGACCCTCGTCTCAGCCACCCCATCCGAGTGCTCCTCCGCTAACCCTCGTCCGCAGTTCTACTATGTTTTGACCGTCATCTACGCCCCGATGGTCCTCGCCGTCAAAATCACCCTGCTCTCCATCCTAGCACGCATCTTCACCATCCGACACGTGCAGGTCATCAGCGTCTACTCGGTGCTGGTGGTGACGGTGGTCTACTACACGATCATCTTCTTCATCAAGGTCTTCATCTGCCTGCCGGTCTCGTACTTCTGGACCCACTACGACGAGGAAGCGCAATGCCTCAACAAGACGGCGGTGATCCTCGCCGACGCGGTCATGAGCATCGCCACCGATCTGGCCATCATGCTGCTTCCGGCCTTCCTGACCATCACCCTGCATCTCTCGCACGTCAAGAAGCTCAAGGTCTCGCTGATGATGGGCTGCGGCGGGCTGGCGATCGGGTTCAGCATCTACCGCCTCGTGCTGGTCATCCACGAGCAGGATCATCTGGAGTCGACCGTCGTGTACTTGAAGATTCTGCTGTCGGGGTAGGTGATCCTGCCTCGCACTACTCGGTCAGGGTTGAGCTAATGCGAAGCAGTAACGCTGAAGGCGGATTCGCCCTCATTTGCTCGTGTATCCCCGCCATCCATATCCTCATCACCCGCCGCGGCGGCCGAGACACGCAGCGCTCCAGCACCTCGTCCCACCAGCTCTTCCGGCATTCCTTCCCTCCATCGTTCCCCTTCCATCGGACCCCCGCCAGCCCTTCGTTCGCCGAGTCCCCGCAGGCCCGCGTGACATCCACCGCGCAGCGCGCATCGCTGGTCGTCCCCGAGCTGAACGAGCTGGAGATCAGCGAGGAGGGCTCGTCGGACGCGAACCAGATCGTGCGAAAGGTCCTGCTCTCGCGCCGGTCGGAGAGAGTGCAAGTGCCGGTGCTGCGGGACTGCTCGCAGGGGTCCTCGGAGACGCAGCTCGGCAACCAATTCGGAGCAGTTTGACAGCATAGATTGCACCAGGCTGGGCCATGATGAAGTGCACCAATCCAAACACAGCAATATATAGTGGCGTCTCTCGACAATGCCGGAAATCAATGCCGGGGGGGGGGAGGTGGCAGCCAGCCAACTTCCGATCTTCGGCACTAATCTATCCTCTTACGTCATTGCCGAGGTGAAGCGGTGCTTGGTGCCTGACACCTCAGGCAGTCACTCCGGGCCCCTTTCTTGTACAGTACATCATCCATGGTATTCATAAAGTATTCCATATCTCGTTGTGGTCTGAGGACTTCAACCAGCGAGGTCCAATGGCACTGGTCCGGCACAATCTAGCTATACCCAACAATATCCAGTACAGTCCGATCCTGCCCCAGCACCACTCTCGCCTGGCCCTTGCGTAAACGCTCCTCTTCCGACACTCCCCGGAAGATCCCCTCGCGCACTTCATCCAGATACAGCTCGTAGGCCGGCATGTACCCCTTCACGAACGCGATGACCTCCTCGTCCGTCATGCCCTGGTTCTTCACCCGCCGCAGGGCGTGTTCCTGCTGCATGCGCCAGCGGTAGACGTTGGCCAGATCGTCGGTGTCGAGGTGCACCAGGAAGTCCAGGTGCTGGGGCCCCATGAACATGTCGCAGTAGTTGCGTAGGCTGGCGTTGATGGTGAAGTAGCTGGCCAGCTCGTGGTTCTGCAGGGTTTGCGTGGGGAATCCAGACTCCGAATCTGGCCCTGACGCGGGGGGATGCGCCTGGGCCGCCGTCCACTTGGCCTCGATGGCCTGCTCGCTCAGCGGCTGGAACCCCACGCACCAGCCTTCCAGCACTAGCACGTCCACCGGCGATTCCAGCGAGACGGGGACGCGGCGCCACTCGTCGCGGGGCACGCGGTCGCCTTCGCCGTGGAAGCGGCTCTTGTCGAACTCGGGGATGCAGACCTCGCGCGGAGAAGTCTCCGGGGTGACGGTCAAGCTGTCGAAGAACTCGCGGACCAGCGCGGTGTCGTGCGTGCCGGGCTGGCCGCGCATCTTGAGCAGGGCATTGGCCGGGTTGGTCTGGCGCAGGCGCACCAGGCCCTCGTGCGGCAGGTAGAAGTCGTCGAGGGAGACGTTGATGGTGCGGAAGTGGTGTTTCTCGTTCAGGGACCGCACAATGGCGGAGGTCCAGGTGGTCTTGCCGCTGCCTTGTAGACCGGTCAGGGCCAGGATGAAGGGCTTCCGTTGGCTGGAGGATGAGGCCTGCTGGTCGACATGGCGTTGGATGTGGGGACGGACGTGGGCCAAGAGCCGGTCAATAGTCTGCTCGGGGATCATGGTGGGCGATGTTGCGAGCGCGCGAGGAGGGGGGCGAAGGAGGAGGGTAGATTCTATATGTATAGAGCAATGGACAAGAAACCAAGACACATGCTCCACCAGCCAATGCGATCAATATTGATGAAATGCGACCGAGGGAAGTTGGTGTTGGTGTTGGTGTTGTTGTTGTTCCTCGTTGCGCTCCGGCTGTGGCTGGGGTTATCACGTGAGTGGGGGAGATGGAGGGGAGAAGCGATGAGTCAGCAGATAGTTGGCCGGGGATGGCGGAGGAGTTTTGCTCCGGCCCGGTCGCGGAGGTTTCTTTGTCCGGTCTGCATTCACAATTTCACACATTAAAATCGCCATGCAGCAACCACGGCCCATCCGCCACACTCCAGCCTTCGTTCATCAAGAACGGGTCCGACAAAGGGACAGCCGTCGCCGACTCCGGGCCCAGACCCAGCCCGCCCAGACCGTAGGAAAATCCGGAGCCGGCCAGATCGCCAAACACCATGCTAGCGGCGTTGTAGAGATCCGGAGTGGAGAGCACGGCCGTAGGATCGAACGAGGGCGGCGGCGGCATCGGAAGATTGTCCCAGGATTCAGGGGCTATGCTGCTGGGCCTGCTGGGCCTGCTGGGCCTGCTGGGCCGGGGCGAGGCATCTTCCCCGTGGAGTTCGATCGGATCTTCGGCAATGCGGATAGCATCGGGACGGTCGCCGGTACTCCGATGACTCGTACTATACGTATCCTCCGCTTGCGGCACTCGGAGGTCGCTGTTGATCCGGTGGTGGTGATGTTGGCTGTTTTTGTTGTTATGCTCGAGAGCAGAGCACAGATCCTCAATGGCTTGAATGCAGGTCTGCGGCCACTCGCGTTCCCGGCGGGCAATGTTCTGCAGCACCGCGATCCCAATGCGCGCATAGCGGCGAGCTCCCTCATTCGAGAAGTGGCGGGTCCAAGCGGCGTAGATCAGAATCAGACATGACATCCACACCGTCCAGGTGAAGGAGGCGACGATCAGCGGAGGACGGTCGTCGCCGGGTGGAGCCGTGATATAGCCATGGAACGCGGCCAGCAACGAACGGGAGGAATTGATGCAGGTGAGAAAAGCCGCTTTGTAATCGGCGGTGGTCGGATTGTCGGCGGCCAGTAATGGACGGTGCAACGCAATCTTGGCCTCGTGGCGTGAAACCACCAGCAGGAGGGAATGGAAGGGTTGCAACGGGCACGATGCCTCCGGCGGCTCCCCGTCGCATGCCAGCGGATAGACATCATCATACACCTCATTCCACCACTGCAGAAGGGCCCGATCGACCTCCGCTGCCTCCACCAAGTTCTCTCCACTATGCATAATGGATTTGTTGCGCAGCTCCGAAATCAACCCTCGCAGGCGGGCGAATTTGGCCAGGTGGCGCAGGAGCTTGAGCCGCTGGTCGTCTGGCGTCGGACCCATCATCACTTCACCACCGTTGTCCGGCGTATGTCGTTCGGCTCCGGGATAGCATACATCCAGGTCGTCATCTCGGATGCTGAGGGGCACCCCCAGGGCTTGATTCAGATATCGCTCGAGACAGTAGATCGACCAGAACAGCCGGCGACGGATCACCACATCTTCCTGGCTGAAGCAGGAATACCGTGCCGGGCAGCGATGCAGACCCAGGTGAAACACGGTGCGCGTCACAAACCCTCCAACCCGCGACGCCGCATTGAGGCGGAGAATCGACGTCAGAAACAACTGGATACTGACGGCTGCCTGCAACAAGGGGATGGACGAGGGTTCGTCCAGCAGATCGCGTAGACCATTCATGGCGTCGTGCACCGTCTGGAAAACCAGCTCGGCCGGCATGGCCACCGCCATGGCTGCCAGTGATGCTCCTCCCTGTGCCTGTCGATTGTCAATGGCAGCGATGGACATGACGGAGCGGATGAGCACGGCATCTGTCCGGCTGATGGACCGAATCCCTTCTCGGCTTGTCTGCTCCAGGGCGCGGAGGAGATGCGGAGCATGGAGAAAGGGGTAGATGGGATGCCAATTCTGGAAATATTGATGTGACAGTTGCACCAATTGGTCGAAGGATAATTTGGGATTGGTCAGATCGAGCTCATCGGTCGACCACAAGAGGGCGTGGGCCTGGCCTTGACCGGTGCGGAGGTGGTCATCCTCCCCGGGCACCAGGCTCTCATGGCCGGCACGAGCCTCCTGCTGCTGCTGCAGGTCGGCAGAACGGCGGGCAAAGGCGTGATAGACGGTGCGGACAAAGTGAATGCCACTCGAACTCCCGAGAAAGCTGGCGGAAGTGTCATCCTTACGCATGATGCCAAGCTCGCGGGGCGAGGGCCGCGACGTCCCCGTCGTCGAGGCCCGCTTGCGCCGCTTGGCCCGAGGCGCTGGCGTTGGCCAGTTGCCGTCCACATCGGAGGGCGTGGTGGCTGTCGTGGTGGCAGCAGCAGCAGCAGTGGCAGCAGTGGGGGAGACAGGCTTCATGCTGATCGGGGATAATGGACGGAGTGCATTAGAGTCGGTCGGGGAAAGATTAATTGATCGACTGACTGACTGACTACCAGCCAGAAAGCATGTAACTAGTGTAGTTTTCCCCAACCATTGGAATGCTGAGTGAAGGGGCGACTACGGTGGGGGACAGAACCAGAACTGCAGGGAAGGAGGAGGAAAAGAATTAGACCTAAAGTTGAACCAACCAAAAGCCAAACAGGATCTTCGGTGTACTGTACATACTCACTCTTGCCAAGTCCATCTCGAACTAACCCTAACCAACTTACCATGAAGAACCCTCACGGAGGTGTTCAACTCCGCCTCCACACAATCTCCACTCTCCATCCGGTTTTACATTATTAATACTTCGGTTCCCCCCCCTCTAACCTGGTTACATGAGCGTCAGATTTGCCTCGAAAAGTCTGATTTGAATTCACGCGAGACACGAAGAGTCCTGCGGGCGCAACTTTCTATTCATGCCATACACTCGCTCATCCCCCCTCCTCCCCTCCCCTCCCCACAATCATCCTCATATGTACATACTGCAGATCCCAATGCCAATTTACACAGAAGAGCATAGGGATCATCGCGATTCTCTCATAAAATGCGTCGTAGTCAATGGTCTGTTACTCTTAAACATGTTCTTTCTGTTCGAACGACCCTTCCGATTGCTCCTTCTCGTGCTTGTCGTGCTGGTAGAGGTCGGCCTCAGTCACCTCGCCTTGAGGCAAACTGCGGGCCATCGACACGATCTTCCACGGGGTGGGGGCATCGCGGAAGGCATGGTCGAGCAGTTCTAGGTTACGGTTCATCGTCTCCGGGTAGAACAGCGCCACCGAGATGGGGATGCAGGCGGAGATGATCGCATACATCACGTAGTAGCGGTAGCCGATGGTGTCCAACGCCACGGGGGTCACCATCACCACCACAAAGTTCCACAACCAGTGGTTGGCGGTGGACACTGCGCTCATCGCCGTCCGCAGGTGGATGGGCGCCACTTCGGTGCAATACAGGAAGTTCCCGCCCAGGAAACCGATCGGGTAGAACAGGTTGAAGAGAAAGATGAAGGTCGCCGAGGCAATCGACGCCCCGTGATTCGAGGTGGGGAAACTAGCGGTGATGGCCATCACCGTCATGCACACACACATCCCCGTGCCGCTGATGATAAAGACCGTCCGGCGACCCAGCCGGTCAATGCAGTAGAATGCAATGAAGCAGCACAGGAACTTCCAGGTCAGGGCGCACGCCGCCAGGATCTTGGCCAGGTTGGCGCTCATGTTGAGGTTCTCCTCGAAGATGGTCGAGGCATACACGGAGATCAGATTGCCACCGCACATCTGCTGGAAGAACTGCAGGAAGAAGCAAAGCAGGAACCGGTACAGGAGGCGATCCGGGTCTTCTCCGCGGTGGAAGAGGATATCCAGCAGCGAAACCTTCTTGACGGTCGTTTCCAGCGAGGACTGCACACCGCTAATTTCCGCAGAGATTGCCTCGTCATCGGGGTCGATGCCCTTGTAGGCAGCCAAGGCGACGGTCGCCTCGCTGACCCGATTGACGCTGACCAGCCACCGAGGCGATTCGGGGAGGAAGAACACACTGCCCGCCACCATCAACGAGGGGATGAAGGACAGGGCCAAGGGAATGCGCCATTGGAGGGTCGAGTAGGGCAGGAAGGTGAAGGCGAAGTCGATCCAGTTGCAGAGGGCATAACCCAGACACATGAAGACTCCCGTCAGAATGACATGCTGCCCACGATTCTTTGCCTCCGAGCATTCGGCCAGCCAGACGGGGACGGCAACGCTGAACTGGCCGACGCCAGCACCCAGGATGAGGCGGCCGATGACAAACTGCACCAGCTGGTAGGCTGACACCTGCAAGACCTGTCCGATGATCGTCAAGATGGAACCCAAAAATACGGTCCTGCGCCGCCCTAGCCGATCGCCAATAAACATGCAGGAGAAGGCCCCAATGAGAGCTCCGATCTGGAAGGACGCAACAACCGCCCCCTTGCTGGTCGAATTTTGTGACTTCTGCTCTCCAACAGTGTTGACGGTGTCGATCGAGGGAAAGGTGTGCACCCAGCTTTGGAGGGTGGCAAGGGGCCCCAGGCCAGACTGATTGTAACCAAAACAGACAAAGGCCGGTGCCACAATGAGGGCAATCTGGGCCAAGTGTAGGGTCCTTCCGGTGAGGCCCCGGGCCGGCACCCGAGACTGGGCCATGGTAGCGGGAATGTGAGGTGAGGAGAGATGTGATGGACGGAGGGAGGGAGAAAGGCAGAAAGTGAGGTGCAGAAGGCGCAAGGAAGGAGAAGGCGAGAGGTGAGCCCATCTTTATAGGTTTTCCAGAACATGACCCCGATTCAAGCCCAGCCGGGGGGGTTTCCAATCTCTGCTCCAGACTCCCGCGCTGGGGCCCCGCATGAGACAGGAGAGGATTCGAATCCTGGCAAATTGGGACTCGCGATGAGCTGGGGTGCGTTGGGGTGCATTGGAGTGGTGTGTTCATGTGGGTGTACGTGGGTCGGCGAACCGTCCGGGGGGGCAAAATGGGGGGGGTAGAGGGTGGATTCACACGGCATTCACATTTGGTAAAGGCGCGGTAGACGAGGAAACGAGGAGCAATCGGGCCATACAGCCCCATGCAGCGTGATACTACTGCCATGCACCAGTTGACGCCGGGCTTACGGGTCTACAAAATCATGCCACACCGTCAGTCACCTCGTATGCTCCTACAGAGAAGCGTGGGATGGATGTGAGTAGGAGGCAAGACTGGTGTGTGTTGTTCCTCGCTTTAGAAAAGCCAAGCGGACAAGGAGGACAAGCTTTGCCCTGACATTGCTTTGGCACACGTGGAGTTCTCTTGGGTGCTACTGATCGTCCCTCCAGCTGCCCAGCATCCAACTTGACCATCTACACGTCATGATCACGGATCCAGGTACAGTACATTCACTAAGAGGATGACATCGGGGTCAGGCATTCATGCAAGAGGGGGCAGAAGCGAGGGTCTATAAGGAGTTAAGAACCTCCATCTGGTCCGTGGAGACGACCTCACGAGGCTCGCGAGGAGATATTCAAGGCCGGAATCAGGCAGGGTAGTTAGGGTAAGTGTGGTGGTTGTGGTGGTTGTGGTGAGGATTGGTCGGGATGCCGGACTGAAACCACGCGCCCCCACTTGAGCGCTGTACGGGCAGCTTGGCAATTCACGGGGGTGATCGGAACTTCCCCGAGCCGGACCAATTTACCCCCGGCTTTGCTTGGCCGTAAGAACAAGATGGACAAGATGGACAAGATGAAAAAGATTCTTGCTCCGGCCGGCCGGACGGACTTTGCTAGCCCGATGTCGACTGGTGCCTAAGGCAGCAGGGTATTATTGCCTGAGGCAGATATCAGGTTGCAGCTGAGCCTTCGCGGTGAATCTCTAATCCGTATTCCACGGTTTTCCCCCGGTTTTCCCCCTTGTTCTTCTTTGAGAATGTCCGCTTCTTCTCATTGGCTCTCCCGAGCTTGACATTTGCGCATCTCCCTTCGGGTACCAAGTCGGTAGGTCGAGTTGCTCTAGTTCGCTCAAGTATACTAGGTAGCCATGCATCATCACAAACTTACGTCGTAGACAAGTTGTCTGCCGTATGTTCTTCTGTCATAGCAAATGCGCACCTAACCTCAATCCGGTTTTCTGGTTTCGTAATGCCTTCAGCTTCCTCCGATATGATGGAATCGCCCGGGCCGAGGGTTTCCCATCCGATTATCGGCACTTTCTTCGGTATGCGGCCCTGGGCACATTTAAGATAGGCAATCTGCTCCTCACAAAGGGGACGGATATGTAATTATTACTCAGAGACTGGTTCCGCTCATCTGAAAGACACCCCCTTCTTGTTGAACCCTTATTTTCTCCCCTGCAAGCCATGGCGCCGTCAATCCACAACGAGGACTTCGCCTCCACGGTCCAGAGTGTACCGTCTAGCCGCTTTGATGGCCCTTCGTGCAAGATTGGGATCAACGGCTTTGGCCGTATAGGTAAGCTCACACTTCAATTAGAGATTTGACCCTTCGTGAGACGTCCCTGGCCAACTGAACCCTTGCCACTAGGCCGGAATGTGCTGCGCGCATCCTTGACTCGTTCCGACCTCGAGGTCGTTGCCATCAACCACACCTGCAACTCGATCAAGGACCTGATCTACCTGATCCGCTACGACGGCACGATGGGGCGGATGGACCCCCACAAGGAGATCGTCGCCGTCAGCGATAGTCTGATCACCATCGGCGGCCAGCCCATCCGCTTGATCTCCGAGCGTGACCCCCGCCTAATCAATTGGCGCGAGTTGGGCGCCGACTATGTGGTGGAGAGTACCGGCAAATTCACCAAGCGGGACTTGGCCCTGCAACATGTCACCCACGGCCAGGCCAAGCGCGTCATCATCTCTGCGCCCAGTTCCGACTCGCCCACATATGTCTTTGGGGTCAACTCGGACGCCTACCGCCCGGACGACAGCAACCAGGTCATCTCCTGTGCTAGCTGTACGACCAACTGCGTCACCCCCGTGCTCAAGGTGCTGAACCAGCAGTTCGGCCTCGAGCAGGGCTTCCTGACCACCATTCACGCGGCCACGCAGTCCCAGCAGGTCTTGGACGGCTACAGCAAGAAGAACCCTCGTCTGGGTCGCACGGTGTTTGACAACATCATCCCCACCACCACGGGTGCTGCCAAGGCCATTGCCACTGTTCTCCCCGAGCTGCAGGGCAAGGTGACTGGTATCTCCGTCCGCGTTCCTACGTAAGTTGTTCTCTCCTCGCTTGTGGTGGGATTCATGATGGGATGACCCTGACATGTCGACTTTCCCTTTAGACCCGACGTTTCCCTGATCGATTTGACTATCAACACTGCTCAACCAACCTCCCTAGCGGAGATCCTGGCGGCATTCCGACGGGCGGCGAAGACCGACCTGGCGGGAGTGCTGAGCGTCAGCGATGAACAACTGGTCAGCAGTGACTACAAGGGCGAGTGCTGTTCGGCGGTCATCGATGCGGCCGCCTGCAACGAGCTCAATCCGCAGTTCTTCAAGATCATCGCCTGGTATGACAACGAATGGGGCTACTCCAACCGTCTGCTCGACCTGGCGGTTTTGGTCCACAGCCAAGAGGAAGCTTGAAGGACTTTTTGTTTTTCTGCTTCCCTCTCTCCCTCCACGGACCATCCCACTGGGTTCGGACCTTCGTTACTCGGGATTTGATCCGGCATCGGGCTCGAGTAGCTGCATGTGTTGCAGGGTATTTACCCTGCGACTTCCGCCTTGGCTCGGCCCGGATGCCTGCCACCGCAAGGCTCTCCGGGCCTCTACGCCATTGATGACCTAAACACCTTTGATGTAGCCCTAATTCCGCCGCTCCCCGATCGACATTCATATTTACATATAGATCGTTCATAGTGAGAATCCCATATAGAGTCATATACCAATACATACAACCGCCGTTTATACCCGTCGCCTAGTTCTCTCCATTCTGTGTAGTTCTGTGGCAAGTCAGCGTAGATCACTTGCCACCACCGTTGCTCATTTGTGTTTTTGACGGACCCATCCAGCTGGGAGTCTCTGATGCGTTCGCATTCAAGGAGGATTCATCGAGGTATTTCGAGTCCGCCGGCGCCTTGGCCGGATCAAGAAAACACACCACCACTTATCGATCTGCTGCACGATGGAATGAACTAGGGTGTTAGGCCTGCGCTCAGGCACTGGAGCTGAACGCCACTCAAAACTTCTTTTCTCTTTTCTGCTGGTCAACAGTAACACCCCTGCAACCCAAAACATATTTTCCAGACACAGTAAGGACGGTCTCCATCGGTTCTTGACCAAGGAACGGAACTTAGCATGAGCGCTATGCAGCCCTGCACGTGGGAGAGAACTTGACCACGACTAGAGAAGATTGGAATGAACTGGGAAGAAGGAATTCTGGCCGACAGCTGTGGGTAGTATTAGTGGGGGCCCTCCGTGCTTTTCCGACCAGGCGAAAGGTCACAGACACGAGCACAAATCAGAGAGGCTTGGTCTATCGCATTGGCGGCACATGGTCTCTTTATCTTATCTCTCCCAACCCGCTCTTGATATTACCCTGGGGCGGGGCATTGATAGCTGTGCCAGAGATATATGGTTTTTGTGTGTGTGTGTTGTTTTTTTTTTTTTTTTTTTTTTCATCCATGTTGGAAGATTCCAATGTTTTGATGCATGCCACCAGACACCATGCAGGGCAATGGCTGTCACCATGAAAATTCTGATCGGATGGTAAAGGTGCAGGCAAGACAGGCATGTTCATGCATTCACCCGGGCAGGAATCCTTCTGCTAGAAGAAATGTTGGGCCAGTCAATGGCAGATGCATTTGCACGTGGGAGGAAGAGCCAGGGGTTGGTTGGATTGGTGGAGGAGCAAATCCGAGTGACTCCACTGAGGGGTTCTTGCGGGGAGACTGTCAACTGGTGGACGTGGTGATTGGGTGAGGGCAATGAGCTTGGTACGGGTCGGCGAGGCCGAGCCATTCCCAACCTTTACAGCTCCTGAACAGGTACTCGATACTCCCAACCATTACTACTGTCACATGCTAAATCATGTACCTGCTACTTGGAAACTTTTTGGGCCCTGTCCTGCCCTGTCGTGCAACGGAAGCAGTGAAGGATCCTACCTAACACCTAATCAGTCGACCATGCATTCATTCACTGGTGAGCAAATCATTTCTGGTCTAGGGCTGATTCCTTCCTGCAGGGAATAAAACCTGTCCTTGCCCTCTTGCCCCCTTCTTTTCTCTTTCTCGTGCTTTTTTCCCGCGGCGCATCTTCGGTTCGTACCTTCTTACCCTCGGACCGTCAGTCAGTCAGGCAGCCAGAACTGCAGATTTTCTTCTGCTCTGTTGCCTCTGCCTCGGAGTAACGGCCTCTCTCTTTCTCTCCCACAAAGGCCCACTCACCATGGATCCGAAAGAAGAGAAGCAGACGGACTTGACGGTGTCCCCCAACACCCATCACTCCATCGATGACGATCCCTTGGCTGCGACGCAGAAGACCTTCTGGGAGCGCAGTTGGCCCACCTTTGCCTGTGGTGCCGGTCTCTGGTCCGACGGCTACCTGCAATACGTGAGTCGATAGTAGGGTTTGCCTCGTTCAATACCTAACCTGACATTCGGATCTCTACAATAGGTTATCGGAACGGTCAACACGATGCTAGATAAGCTCTACCCCGACGTCTACGCAGGATCAACCTACAGTCAGAACGTCTCCTCGATCGCCTTTGCCGGCACGGTGGTGGGGATGCTGGTCTTCGGCTACATGTCCGACCACTGGTCGCGCACCAACACCCTGATGGTCTCCACCGTGATCCTCTTCGTGTTCGGCGCACTGTGCGCTGGCGCCTATGGAGCAAACGGCAGTCTGACGGGGATGTTCACCGCGTTGACGGTCTATCGCTTCTTCCTGGGATTGGGCGTGGGCGGCGAATATCCGGCCGGGTCAGTGGCCGCCGCGGAGAGCAGCGGAGAGATGAAGAAGGGCCAGCGCCATCGGTGGTTTATTCTGTTCACCAACTTCCAGCTCGATCTGGCCTCGGTCGCCTCCTCGCTGGTGCCCATGATTGTTGTGCTGGCCTGTGGCGAGAACCACCTCCGCGCCGCCTGGCGCATCTGTCTGGGTCTTGGAGTCATCCCCCCACTCAGTCTGATCTACTTGCGGATGAAGCTCAAGGAGCCCACCGAGTACACGCGCGAGAAGATGCACAAGTTTCCCATCTGGTTGATTGTGAAGTAAGTGCCTGCACCTGCACACTAGTGGTGATGCGATGCTAACCCATTGAACCAGATTCTACTGGAAGCGCTGGGTAAGCCTTACATGCGCCTCGCGCATCAAGCGCACGCACAACTGACAGTCAATCTAATCTAGTGTGCGGTTTCCCTCATCTGGTTCATGTACGATTTCTCGACCTACTCCTTCAGTATCTACTCCTCCCAATGGTTGTCTTTGATCATCGGCACAAATGCCCCCATGTGGGTCACCCTTGGCTGGAACACGGTGATCAACGTCTTCTACCTCCCCGGCTCAGCCCTGGGAGCGTTCCTGAGCGACTGGTATGGGCCTCGCAACACCCTGGCCGGAGGCGTCTTCGTGCAGGGCGTGATCGGCCTGATCATGACGGGCTGCTACCCGTACCTGGACACCAACCAATATGTCGCCGCCTTTGTCGTCATCTACGGGTAAGTTGCAGTGCCGTTCTAAAGACCCTCCCCTGCACCTTGTCGCTATACTGACTCTGTGGGTAAAACAGAATCTTCCTCGCCATGGGCGAAGTCGGCCCCGGCGACAACATCGGTCTCTGCGCAGCCAAGACCTGCGCCACCCCGATCCGCGGCCAGTACTACGGCACGGCCGCCGCCATGGGCAAGGTCGGCGCCTTCGTGGGGACCTATGTCTTCCCGATCATTGTCAAGAACGCCCCCACCGCTGCTCGCAAGGGTCAGGACCCATTCTACGTCTCCAGTGCGCTGTGCATCTTCAGCGCCTTCTTGGCGTACTTCTGTCTGCCGAATATCAGTCAGGTAGGTTGTCTCCCATGATGATAGCTCGTGATATCAAAGACTAATGGGTTTCAGGACACGATCACCCACGAGGATGTACGGTTCCGGGAGTACCTGGAGTCGAAGGGCTACGATACTTCGACGATGGGGTTGTCGAATGCGGAATCGGAGTGATCGATGCAAGGTAGCATTGCGAGGAGCATTATTGTGTTTCGAGGAAGCGAGGATATGTGACGATGTGTGTAATCAACTGCTGATGTGGTTATGGCCATAATACATATTATCTAATGAATTTATGAGGGTCTGTGAAACCCTCTCAGAACCAATGCCTTAGGTAGCGGGTGGTCTTCCCTTGGAACCTGCAGCCTCAACTCTACAGGCGACAAGCGCATTAGGAAGACCATGCACATGGGAAGACTGTATGGATCTTGGGAACAGTGAGTCGTTCTCATCCATCATTATCTTTCTCCAACCTCTCCTTTACCGATGCATTGGTTTATGTCTATACATACGGGACTTTGCCATGCTTCGTTCGTCGCCACTACCACTTCTCCAACATACCCACTCATCCACACCCCCCCCCCTCATTTGTCACCGCAAGGTTACGCATGCAGCCAGAGGCTGGCACACGTAGATGACCGTATACAGCCAGTACGAGAACCGATCACTCGTCAGCGACCGGAAGGCGAACAGCCGAAAGATGCACCCGACTGTCATCAGCCCCAGCACCACCGCTGTCGCGACAGTGGAAGTGTCGTATCGATACTCCAAGATCCGATGGTAAATCAGTAGGTACTGCGTTATCGCCTCAAATCAGCCCCTGCTCCTGATATACGCCAGGGGAAAGGTCAAGGACAACTCACCTGCGACACCACAATCCCCACCGCAATATAAACCCGGGCTGCACTGTACTTAGCATCTCACCGCGGAACAGACAGCAACCAGGTAAGGACAAACTCACCCGCGAAATCCCCCAGCAAAATGGGCGTCGTGCGCCGCCCCGCCGCCAAATCCCCAGGAACATCACGCAGATCCTGCAACGGAATTGGCCACAGCATGTAGAGGGTAATCACCTTGATCCAGTACCATCCCATGGCCGGGGGCGCTCCACCAATTGCCCACGCCGCCTTCAACTGCGCAATGCACCCCAGACCCATGCACAGATCCTTCGTGGGCCCGAAGTTCGAGAACCCCAATGGGTTGTGCGCGATCGTGGTGCCGATCCACAAGACGGTCCAGATAGTCACATCCAGATAGTGTCCAAGGGCAAGGTACATGACTGTAAGAGCCCAGTATCGGGTCTTGGCTGCGGAGACGGATTCCGCCCCGGAGGCGATGGGACGATCAGGCTTGTTGACGCGGTCTTCGCGGACGCCGGTGATTTGGTTGGAAACAACGAAGGTGTAGAGGTAGAGGAAGCCGTAGAGGAAGGCTTCTTCACGAATTGGGAATGAATTAGCTTGGGGAGAGTGGAAAGAAAGAGGGGACCGTACGTATGATGGCTGGAGCGATCTCTGCCCGTGGGGTGCGACGGTACAGGAGGGAGGCCAGTGTGAATAACGGCACTGGGAGGAGGCCGGTCCCTAGGTCTCTGCGCACGAAGCCGTAGCAGAGGTTGAGTTCGCGGGTGAGGAGGCGTAGCATTGTGATGAGCATGACTTCTCTTGTTGCATAGGGAAATAGGCGCAGATCCTTTCCCTCGGTAGGACTCCATAGCGGCTATATATGAACTAATCTCACGAGACTCGAGGTCGAACCCTGCCAGAAGCAGACCGGCACACGAGCAAGGCTCTTCATACTTCTGAGAATATACAGCTAAGCATCCCTCGCCGTTCCACTTCCCTCACTCCGAGCCGGTCATTCGTCATCAGGTTGTCGGGGGCCCGCGCTAATGACTCCTGCGATAAGAATGCGAATCCTGCACCCTGCGCGGCCGCTGAAGGATCCAAAGGCCCCGTTTTGGGGAGCCACTGAGGTGACAGGTTGATGCCACGTTATCGGCAGATAGGCAGCCTGATTAGTAGATGGGGGCCTCAATGAGTCCCAGTCGGAATCTTGACGACGGATTCGATGGCTGGTACGCGGCTCAGAGGTATTTTCCGGTATGCGGTTCGGCCTTTGACTCCAGGGTATGCCGGTCGAGTTCTGGCGATGTATCTAATGTCAGCCCTTGTCTATGTGCCGATTAGTCTGGTGTTATTCTGGTGAGACTTCGAATGGAAATCGAATCCTGTGCGTATGGACAGAATCTCACGCAATGATTTTCGGTGGTGAGCTATGCATGCATCTTCCGTGAGAAAGCGGCTGATATGCAGTGATCTATGAATACAGAAATGCCGCCTCCCAATCGAAGCAAGCATCGTTTAGCCGACTACACCTCGAAGGCTGCAATGCAGGGGATTTGCGCAACCCTGGTTTTGCTGGCCGGTCTTGACCTTGCTCCTGGTCGCAGATTGGCCAACTGCTGGAACGGTGCATCCCAGTCGTTGATTACCGACAAGACCATCAGGGAATAGTAGTCCCCGCAGAATTGTTTCCGGCTCTTTCACTTATCGATTCCACCTCTCACTGATATGTACAGAGTAGCCCATCAGCCGGTAGCCCTTTCCCGTCAGGAAGGGCGGCTTAGTCCGGTCAGGCGAGCCGACTGCTCAAGTGCAACCCCAGATCTTCGAACTTCTCCTCGGAGCTAAACCTTGTTTTCAACGTCTTCCTAACTCCCTCGTCAGGGTCGATCAGACCCTCGGCGTTGTGCTTGTCCCTCATCGTGTACCGCAATTGATTCAGCTGTATCAACTGGAGGTCCTCGTCGGTAAGCTTGAAGGTCGGCGGCTCCTTCATGGCGCGCTGAATCGCCACTAACCCGGCTTCCAGCAGTCGCTTGAGGTCCGTCAATATCTCCGCCTCGTCTTCCGTGCGCGGCGATGACCGCTCGAGAGCCCACAGGAGCAGTTGCCCGTAGCTGTCCTTCATAGATTCCTGCCGGGCCAGCAGGTACTCGACCCGCGACTGTCGGTAGGCGCTCTGCAGCTGCCCGCGCCGGTGCAGCAGTGTGAGCCCAATCTGGTAATCCTGGAGGACATGGACAGGGACCTTGCGGCGGGGGATATCGCCGACTTTTTCTTCTTCTTTGACTGTAGGACTGCCGGAGACATCGGGGGGTGCCGTGCTGTCCTTGCTGCTGCTGCTGCTGCTCCGCCAATCGGGCTAGGCTCATCTGGCGCTGCCTGTCCAGCAAGACCCGCTGCATGGCGAGGTCCTGAAGCTGAGACAGGAGCGGAGAAATGCCAGAGGGGCCGTGTGGCGTGTGTATTTGTTGATCTTGCTGCTGCTGCTGCTGCTGCTGCTGCTGCTGCTGCGCGTCGGTGGGCGGGACTTGGTCGGTTGTGCCCGCTGGACCATCATTTCTTTCGGCTGAGTTTCATGGGCGGAGAAATGCCATGATTTGATGTGTGTTGACCGTCACAGAGGGTGAGCTCGCGACTGATGACTGTAGTTTCTTAAGTTACTGGCTGCAGTGAGCGCAAGTGAGATGGCCATTTACAAGCTGCTTACTGCTTACTAAGTACTGTTCACTGCAGTAGCCTGGAATCCACACTGGCAGTGACACGGCAGCTCTTTTTTAGGGTGGCGTGGAGCGTTTCGTCGTGCACGTGATGCCAAGGTCATTCCTAATATATGAAATAAATCAATCATATAAATCATTGATCTCTGGCGAGAGATTTATGTTACATAACTACTCATCATGATAGCATAGGGTGGATAAATCAACTAAACTATATTAGGCAGGATACTAACTATATGGCCACGGCCAGGTTACGGTATTGCCAACTCTGCGAGCAGCGGCACGGCAAGATCGGGAGATATCATGCACTGATTCTATCTATTGGCACGGAATGGAGAAGTCAATTTCAGGCACATTGAAGGTTGACAGGGAGAGGAGGCGGCCACGTGATGCGCGGAAGTGACCAGCAGCGGGAGAAGAGTACGGACTAACCATCTTCCAAGTGTATGCCACCGCAGTACAGAAAGTACCGAGACTGAAAGGCAGATACTCCGTAGCTTCCCCGGATTGGTGAGGTGGAAAGGTGGAAATGCGGGGGGAGCTCCAAGCCGGTTACATAAGCCGGAAGGGATGAGATCATGACATGTCGATGACTCCCTCGTGACCCGTCCATTGTCTAGGTCTCTCACTCTCTCTGAATGCATGCTGTACGGTGTACAGTGTACAGAATGCGGGGTAAGAATCCCGTTTCACTCTACAGCACACGGTACATTCTGTCCGGGGAATGAGAAACTGAGAAACTGAGAAACGATCGGCCACTAACCTGCCTGGAACCCCCTTCCCCATAGGCGAATGTTTTCGTCCGGTGGACCCCGATCGTCGAGAGAAGATCCATCTTCCAGACAAGTTGCCACTGACCACGGACCATTGATGGGAGATTTCATCGCGTCATGCTTATGCGGGCTACTTCCCCATGGTCTCAGCGAACTTTCCCGTCACGCGAGCAAGCGGTCGGTGTCAAACACCACGACGGTCTGGTTTCAACCACCACGTGAACCGACATATCTCTTCCGTTCATGTTCCTGGGAATAGAAGCATGGCAGTCTTCCTTTCACCATCAAAAGGGGGGTGGATAGACTAGTGGGCATTGCACAACCCGGTGAAGCAGGTGTAACAATGTGACAGGGAGCGAGTGAAGACGGCCAGCATCTAGCCAGGTCGACGCATGCAAACGCGCCATTGAAGCCCGCGATACGAATGTCGTGGCCAGTGGGCTCGCGCCTCGCCTCGAGACGGCTGCATTCTTCCTCCTCGTCGACCTGCCGGAGACCCCGGCGTGCAGTCCGTCCATTCCAGCGTTGGAGGTATCCTGATAGACGGCGGATGATCGATAGACGATAGACCACCCTCATCGTAGCTGTGAGGCACTCAGACTGAACATCTCAGCCGTAAACAACATGTAGCATTTATCAAGATTATGGTTACATTCCGTCCAACAATCAGCCAGGGACCCAACGATGATCTCTGGGAGGGAAGATGCTGGGAGAGGTGGGAGGGAGGGAAGACGGGAAGGGAAGCGATGCATCCAAACAACAAAAGAGTCAATGACTGGACGTCGAATAAATGAATGACGCGACCATCTTCATGCAGCCATGCGGTAACCCCGCAAGTTTTACGCAACTGCTAAACTCAATGCAGAGGGACGACAAAGGCTGCTCTCCCCCAGATTCGCCTCGTTAGAAGTCAAAGCCAGGCTGAATCCGAGGATCAGCCCACAGAAGGACCAACCAGGTCGTACCACCACCATCCGTCATATGATCCGCTGATTCTCTTTTCCCACGGGCACAGGGAAAGGATCGCCTGTTTCGCATCGTCTGTTTCGCTGTTTGTCCTCTGCCTCGTCCACGGTAGAACCATGTCTCGTCACCTCCCAGCGTTCCGGGCCAACATCCAACATTTGCGGGCTTCCCCGTCCTCGCCCAAGTCCCAACCCTATATAACCCTCTTCCTTCCTTCACCCTCTCCAGGCCCGATTTCTTCTTTCCTCACAGCTTTCGAGGGCTTCTCCCTTCGTCTCACTAATCTACCACTATCCAACCGTATCTCAACCAACTCACACACTGACCGTCATCATGGACTCAGCTACCATGGACAAGTACAACTCCCAATGGGTGCAGTTCCACATCCGGGACCACCTCGACAAGGGAGAGATCTCCGTCCGTCACACCGTCATCGAGGGGTTCGTCTTACCTTTTCTTGCTTTCATATCCCTCAAGCTGGCATAGCTAACTCCGATGCAGTGGTGACTTCCACGACCCCGACTCCAACAAAGCCATGACCGAAGACGACGTCGACGAGCTCCGCATCCCCTCCTACGGCGTCGGCGAGATCTGTGCCCGCGGCCGCCGCGGCAGCGAGGGCCGCCTCGACCTCTTCCACGGCGAGGACAAGATCTGCGAGCTGCACTGGGACAACCGCCAGGGCAATTGGGTCAACCTCGTTGAGGTGCTGGACGGAAATAACAAGTACAGAGTCGAGCATGGGGGATGGAGCCCAGAGGCAGGACCTCTGGGCCATGTCTACGTGGACATCATGGCACAACAGGCTGCACAGGCGGCGGCTGCTGCTGAGCAGCAGGAGAAGTAGTGCCACACACGCATGGGTGGTGTTCTCCGGTGTTGTGTTCTCGGGGTTTGTTGTCTATTTCTCTTTTGGTTGAATTTTGACCTTTGGCTTGTTGTTGAATCTACGATTCTGGGAACGTAGTCGGGCGGGACCTGTGGAGTGGGTGAGTTGATTTGATTTAAGTCGTCGATATAACTGATAATATCCATATAGTGAGTGAGTATGTAGGTTTTGCATGTATCACAGAGAGAACAATTGCAATGTGATCTTCCATCTTCATCATCATATCAAGTCCTTGAAGGATGAGTAAACTCCATGGATCCATCATGAGCTGATCCAGCCCTGAATCGGACCACCCAGAGGGCCAATCACCTGATCCCGCATGGACCACAGTCGGTGGGAAAGTGGGAATATCTTCACTGGAACGCGTTAGTTCAATCAGGCGATGTTAGTCAATGCTAGTCCCCCTTAGCCCACCTTAGTTCACCCTCATTAAGCCCGGTCGGGATAAGTGTTTCGGTGCGCAAGTGGAGCTGGAGCGTTGTGTCCACGTATCCCAAGCCCAAGTTCCCAGCCATCACCGATCATGCAGCTGGCATCATCATCGCCACCAAATAAGCAAATATGCCAAGCAAAGGGATTTCAGTCTACAGCTACATCTCCCCCGCCGTCGACGGCTACGAGGTGGGATTCTCCATTCCGGGAGAGGATGTCCTGCACACGTCGGCCCAGAATTTCACCCCGCGTCGCTTGGAACTCGACTCCGCCAACATCCCCGGGGTGGACAACTTCACCGGTCGCTTTGAATGGAAGGTCTTCCGGTACGGGGAACTCGTCGCCAGTGCCTACAATGACATCAGTACCCTGACGGGCAAGCTCACCAGCGGGGAGATGGTGTCGACCCAGGACTTCCACCCCATCGTCCTGGAGGATGCCATCATCACCTACGGCTTCTACAACGCGGGCCGCGGAGAAGTCGGCCTGACCAAGCGGGATCAGTGCTACGTAACCATCTGCTCAACGGGCAACCGCGCCTGGATGGGCGATCTGGCTCCGGTCGGATCCCTAGAGGCGCAGAAACCCTTCTCCCGCTTCGCCCTCGCCGCTCCGCACGACAACGGGATGAACAGCATGGACAGCTGCGACGCAGTGTTCCAACATCTGGACGGGGACATGCTCGCGGCCGTGCGGCAGCTTGTGCCGATGCTCGCCCACATCCGGCACATCCCCGACGGGTTCCTCATGGAGAAGCTGCCGCACATCGTCTACGGCCTGGCCATCACCCAGAAGAAGGAGATCGCCGTGATGCTGAACATGGGCGCCCGGTACTTCGAGTTCCGACCGGCCAAGCTCCTTCCCATCTTCCAGAAAATCTCCTCCCTCCCTGACACGTATTATTTCCAGCACGCGTGCATCCCGGGGCTGGCCTTCGACGCATTCCTCCGCGCGCAGGTGGCGTTCCTAGATGAGAATCCCACTGAGATTGTGACCATCCACATTCGGTGGGACAACATCGTGGCCGACTGCGAGCGACCGACCGAGGAGCAGATCGGGGAGCTGCTGACCGAGGCGTGCGCCACGGGCGCCGTTCAGCCGCTGACCTGGGGCGGCCGCGAGTGTTTCAGCCAGCCAATCGACGAGCTCCGGAGCACTGGCAAGCGACTGATTTGTGTGATCGAGGCGGACAAGTATGACAGCTGGACGGCGGAGGCGTACGCGACGTTGAGTGCGGACTCGATTCTGGCGCGGTTCGAGGGGATGACCACTGAGGGGCAGGAGAGCAGTGACCTGACGGTGCTGCAGTGCCAGGCCACCTCGCAGTCCATCAAGGAGGTGATGATCTATAGTGTGGTCGAGGCGGGCGCGGTCTCGTCGTGTTTGACCTCGACCAAGGCCGCGTTGGATACGCGGACCCTTCCGTGGATTCGGGAGAACGCGCTGGAGCGACTGCAGGCGGAGCGGACGATCGTGATCATGAACGACTTTATCGATGGGGCGACGACGGACACGTCGATCTTGTTGTCAAAGCAGCGATTGGCTTTGTAGGGGACTGTGGATAGCAGATAGCATCATTGAGATAGAACTAGACTTGTTTCCCAGACTATGATGCCATCGCATCTTTGTTTTCCCGCCGGCACGGAAGAATGATATCGCCGATAAGGCACCCAAAGGCGGTGAGGATCTGCCGATTTCCTCCTCCAAGGAACCAAAACAAAGAGACTCAAGGAATGAGATGAGATAGAACCGTGACAGCTGTCTGTCATTCCAGTTACACCAGGTCTCCTGGCATCATATCCTGGTTGAACTCTATATCTATACACTAGCCAACCTCTTCTTTCACTAGGCTTCAGTGGCTCACACCGACAAATGTGTGCCCTTCAGACTTGCCAACCGGCTTGGATTCCCTACAAACCCAAGGACGAGACGATGTCACTCTCCTGGCTTGGCACCATATGGGTTGGAGGACGTGACAGGGGATCTCAAGGCCATGACTTGGCCGAAGAGCGGTGAATTCAGTTTCCTTTGTTCGCCACAAACTTCTCACAAGCCGGGCCATCCATGGCTGCCTAAAGCTTTCCATGATGTGTGTGCTGTATTTATATCGAAGCGGCCTTGTTCAGCTGCTACACCGGACATCTCGTCATTGACCAGTGCATTCGTCCTGCAATCACCGGGCACAATCGCCGCCCTACAGACCGAACATCTTTGTGCATCATGTCCGATTCTCCAATGGAGCCCTCGAGCGAGCCAAACGACAGCGGGTACTCGAGCGCTCAGGCCTCAATCGAGTATCGCGAGTCTCTGCTTACGGACGTGCGACGTGGGCATCTGGCGGAGCTGCGCGACTCCGTCTATAATAATTACTACGGCATCACAGATAGATTTGGGCGAGGGGAGCCCTTCCAGGAGCTGGAACCAGCCATTCGTGATCTCTGGTTCGCATTCCATGTCTGGGCGCGTAACATCTCCCATGAGACGCCGGAACACGATCGGATAGTGTTGGACTTCATTCGGTTTCAGCTGTCCGGACCCTTACAGCGACTGGTGAAGGAGAGTGACCACGAGTTCGAGGTGGCCCAAACCTCGACCGGGGCGGTCTTGTGGCGCGATGTGCCCTTGTTCCTCGAGGACACGACCGCCTACTTTATCCAGCACTTTCCCACGATGAGGCCCGACCATCGACTCAACTTCACCTACTTTGTGGCCAAGGTCGCATCCACCGGGTTGCTGCAAGACCGACTCGCCGAAGTCGCTCTATTGACCTTCCGCGAGGCGTTAGAGACCGACCGTCCACTGGGAAGCCTCGATTCCTCACCAGACTCCTCCCGGCCTGGGCAGACACTGTCCGACCTGCCCATCGCCGCTTTCCTCCCCGCCATCCGCGCGTGGATCTTCGAGTGTGGACGGAGAATGATTAACTTATGTGATGTGTCTTGGAAGGAGTGCGATGCATCGCTGGGCCGTGGGGGTTCGTTGTTCCTTCAGGCCACGGAGCTGAGTCGCAAGGCGCCAGTTGGTCTTAGTGCAGGGCGATGGCTGTTCTGGATCAAGAGGGTGGACCAGATCCACGAGCAGGCAACACAGGCCCAGGAGACGAAACTCGCCGAGGAGGCCTGGGTTACCCTGGAGTTGATGCTCAACCCGCTCGAACATCGGGATAGTCCCGTTTCTCGAGCGTACAAGGCCGCACTCGACGGCTTTATCCGGGTCAAGTGGCCTGAGTTCTGGGCCTTGAAGATGCCGGTTGAAGAGGAAGACATCGAGGCACGTGAGGATGAGCCTGAGAAGCCTCTGCTTGGAGAGGACTAGACGTGAAGGGCGATGGTGTCATGGTGAAATGCAAGAACTTCTTCCTTGTCGCTGCTTTCCGAGCAAGTGCAGTGCCGTCAAAACCAATTTTAGTCGATGTAAAGCTGTCACTACGATCTACATGTTTTGTACTCAACTATCGTCTTTCTCGGGAGAATTTAAACCCCTCAGTTCGTAAGACAAAGAGCAATAAGTAGCAACATTCAGCGATTCCCACTCCTCTCACTATCTAAGATTCCCAGCATCGTGAGACTCATATGACTCCACGGGACACACATTGACATCGTCCAGAGCCAGCCATACACAACGCACTAATAGCAGTTGCAATCCCTGTTGTAGGAGTCAAAGTTGCACTTGGCACCGTCCTTACTACACTACAAAAGACTCAGTCGACAGATACTACCAAACTTGGACAAGCCGGACTCACCTTTCGGAACTGGCACTTGCAAATAGCCGTCCTTCCACTTTGCGCGGTGTACCTGCATTGATTTTCACTCTTCCGACATTGCTACGTCAGAGTCAATGGGTCAGACTTGGTCTTTTTCGCTTGTGACTGGGCTGTGGAATACTGACTCCATCGTATTTGACTTGAACATTGTTCTCGCTTCTCACGCCGACAGATTCGGCATGATTAAGCGGGGTAGCAGCCACACCCATGGCAGCGAGGAGGATGAAGCCGATTGAAACGGGGGAGATCTTCATCTTGAGAGGGGAGGGTAGCTCAGAGAGTTGTAGATGATAAATGGTCGTAATCTGTGACTTTGCTGCACTTGTGCCTGATGGCAATGACACTGTCCCATCATGAGGGATGAGAGTCTGCCTTATATAATATCAGTAGATGCTTATTCCAGCAGAATCCTCTTGGATCAGCTAGAGAGCAAAGCACCTGAACGAGGCTGAACGTAGCTGAGAGTCGGAATGATCACACGAGGGCTTAGCAGTCCTGTTGACGATGCTTTGTTGTCATCCCCCCGACTTCAAGATGTTTGTCGACGACAGTCATACTTCTGCGTGACTCTTGATGTGTCCAAGTATGGGTGTAATCATCGGTTGGGACTTCAGCGGACTTGTGATAACACGGCGTTCGTCGGGGTTTGAGTTGAAGTTGGCATGCATACGCATCAGTTGTGTTAGCAATGCGGGGTGCAGCCTAGACAGACTCAGTCTCTATGTCTCTGCCTAAGCAAGCAAGTGACGGCTTTGTTTGTCTTTTGTAGGCCACTGGCTGAGAGTAGATGCATACTGGACTCCCCTTTGCAGGAGGCTCTGTACAGCAATCGAGCTTGTGACATATACCCTGAAGCTAAATGAACTAATGTAAAATCTGAACATGTAGGCACCTCATCCGGCAGATAAAGTTTCTAGAGTAGTAATACCTGCGTTAATCGGAATTGCGGGCGATGTCAGGAGCTGGCAATTGGATGCTCAAAAATATATGTTGTGGTAAGAGTTGCACATCACAATAAACCATTAACCATCCTGTATGGAGGAGGGTATAGGGGTTGTACCTTCGCTACCTAGGTTTTCAAGGGCGAGTCAAGGGCACCGTCAGCATAAGCATCTAAGGCTTTGCTAGAATTAGGTATTGCATGGTGAACTGACAACAGCCTTTGGAAGTGTCATAGATAAGTGGATGAGCCCACTACGCATGTTCTTGCTCATGAAGGATTAGTTGAGTCACCATGACACAAGCACGTCTTGGTGGCGCAATTGGTTAGCGCGTACGACTGTTAATCGTGAGGTTGAGAGTTCGATCCTCTCCTAGGACGTCATTTCTTTTTTGTTCTTGTGCTTGTGGGGCGGGGCGACCGGCACATACCCTCCCTGCCTTTCTTTTCTATTCTTCCCTTTTTAACCTCTACACATACACCCCAAACCTAGCCAGAAGCTAAGCAAATTGTGCTTCCAGCTACATTATCCTAACGCCTGGCACCGGACGATGAGCCGAGCACGTGAGCGGAACTCAAGTGTCCCTGCCGATAAGAATACTAGGACTCTATCACGTGAGCGGAAAACGGATCCCACGGCCATTGGCTGCAGCATCCCCCTATGGCCTGACAGGCGGAGGGCAGATGTAGGTCCGGTAAGGCGAAGTTTCGTTTTGTTTCGATTCTCATAAACTTGCAGACATTCTCCCTCTATCTCTTGATCTTCCTTCATCACTGCCACAGTCATGGCTAGTTCTCTCCTCACCCCTGAGCCACGCGCCCGACAGGCCTGTGAACCTTGTCGGTAAGACTCTCTCGGTACTTCCATAGAGATGACCTCATTCACAACTCCATCCCCGGTATCGGTAGGAAGAAGAAGACCAAATGTCCCGGCGAAAGACCAATATGTTCTTTCTGTCGCCGCTTGAATCAGAGATGTACTTACGGGCGGAGTAGTGACCCACCCACTCGTTCGTCCGAGGTAAGCTCCTCCCTTGACACTCTTCAATCGACTCTAATACGCTACAGTCTAGACAAGAGACGCGGGAGCGGCTACGACGGCTGGAATCGCGACTCGAACGCATCGATGGATTCTTTCAGTACGTGATGGGCTCGTGTCTTCGTCTGCTTGGCCAAACTGACCATCTGGAAACAGGACGCTGACGGATCGTGCGCCACAAGACGCCATGCCTTCCCCACAGGCTCAACCATTCCTACACCGGATCCTGCAGAGCCAAACCGAAACCTTGCTGTCTGCCCCAGGCATCCCACAGCCCCAGTCCTTCGACCCATCACGATGGTACGTCTGACTGATTGCCCTTCCTTGATTCTTCTCTGAATCATTCTGAAACTCAAGTCAATCATTGGAACAGCCTGTATCCACCACCAGAAGCTCTAGCTCAGCTAGTGAAAGTGTACGCTGAGAAGGTGCATAGCCAACCACTACCTCTCTTCGACAAAGAGAGACTCTCCGCGCAGATCCGACACTTTCCCGACTTCCTCCTGCAAGCCTTCTTGGCGCTCATCTTGCTCTTCGTCGAGCTGCCTTTCTACGGTGACGCCAAAGCGCAAGCCATCGAACTGTACCTCCGGTCCGCTCGCCCCACGGTCATTCAACTGGCTGCGGAAGGCACTCCATCGGTGCCAGCATTGCAGGCGTTGTGCCTTTTAACCTTGAGTGATGTTGCTGGTGAGGTCTTTTGTAATACCTGCCTGAACCGACAAGCCATGCTGACTTCCCCTAGCCGGTCGACACGCACGAGTCTGGATGGATGTTGGGATCGCGGCTAGGTTGGTTCTCTGTGTGTTCCCCGCCGGCGCAGGGTCCGCTACGGAATCTGCGTCGACGCGGGATGATCAAACGCGGTGTTGCTGGAGTGTGTTTGTGCTTGAAAGGGTCTTCGCCCCCGGCCCGAGTCTCTTGCATATCGACAGCTACCCGCTGGGGCGTGTAGGGTATCCTGTCAGCCCCCCACGGCCCCGCTCCCTCATGGCGAACGATGACGGCTCTGCGCCTAAGGCCTTTGCCAGCAGTGCTGCAGACCTAGGGATACAAGCCTACTGCCTCCAAGTGACTGGACTGTGGTATGAAGTTCTGGGGTACCTGCGACAGCGTCTGGCCAATCCGACCGATGACCCCTGGATCGCCTCCTCCCGCCATCACACGCTGGTTGCGCAGTATTATGAGTTCGAGACGGGGATCTCGCAGCTGCACCGATATCGGAACGTCGGCTTCCACACCATCACCTCGAGTGAACTCCTGCAGCACAAGGAGTACTGGACGGCCTGGCTTCATTTGCAGGTGGCATTCCACGCCGGTCAGGCCTTTCTGCATCATCCGCTGTTCCATGTCACCCATGTGCGACGTGCATCGTCCAAGTTCCAGCCGCCATCCTTCCTCCAACAGACCATAAACCAAGCCCTGCTTCACTCAGGTTGGCCAACGCGGTTGATCCGAACATGGGAGAAACATGGGATTGAGATCAACGACCCCTTTCTCGCTCAACTGGTGGCGACCGCTGCGTCTATTCACTGGATGTTCCAGTTCGCGAGCGAGAAAGCCATCGCCGACCGGGCACGGGAGGACTTTCAGCAGTGCCAACGCTTTCTGACAGATCTAGGGACCCGATGGCCACACGTGGCTGGAATGGTGAGTTTTGATTTTGTTTGGGTTAAATTGAATTGAAATCTGGTCAAAATCAACGACGGTGCTGACGGGGGCTGAACAGGTGGACAAGCTTGCGTATCTCCAAAGTCTGTCAGGACACAGCGCTGGCGCGAGTAGCATTCCGCCTTTCAAATGGTCGGCGATGTGGGATTTGCTCGACCCAAACTCACCTCACAGCAGTGTGGAGGAGTCTCATCTCGCATTTGTGTCTGGTGGCCAGCAGATCGCCACGCAATACCTGGTGCCATTGCGCGAGTCCCCGCCGAACCGGTCCTCATTGGGGGGCGAGGATGAAGTGCTGGCTACATCGTCGGAGTGGATGAATAGCGATTTTTTCAGTCTCCTGGATGTACCATACTTCGGCCAGGGTCCATCGCAGCTCCCGCCCGACTGCCACGGGGAGTTGTAAGTTTTTACGTACAAGATGGACCCCCTCCGCATTTGTCGCATCCGGGCCGGTGTAGGAGTGGGGACGGGATACAATGAAGCCGTGCCCACTCCTCCCGCCAAGCTTTCGATGTGGCCGACCTTCGGACCTGAAAAATTCTCCCCTATCTGACAACAGGCCACGCCCTCCAGGTGGTCTCTATAATAATACACTGCCCTTCCTGGATGTTCTTCGCCTTCAGAGACAAGCACAATTGATCAGCCTCCCATTCTACCCGGAAAAATGGCTATCCCTCCTTCCAAGTCGGCCGCTATTGTCATTGTCGGCGCAGGCGTCTTCGGTCTGTCCACAGCCCTGGAATTGACCCGTCGGGGTTACACCAACATCACTGTCTTGGACCGGCATCTGGCTCCCGTGCCCGATGGCTCCAGTGTCGACGTCTCGCGCATCATCCGCGCCGACTATGCCGATGTCTTCTACGCCCGCATGGCGCTGGACGCCCTGCACAACGGCTGGCACGGCGAGTACGCCCCGTACTTCTACCAGAGCGGCCTGATGTGCACGCAGACGCAAGGCAGCGGCGAGCACGAGTACATCGCCCAGTCGAAGCAGAACATGGAGCAGCTAGGCGGCAAGGCTGCCAACTTGGTATCCTTCCAGGGCGCGGAGATCCGCCAGCAGTACCCCGGCATCCACGGCGATCTCTCGCAGGCCAGCGGCTATGTCAATATGGATTCCGGCTGGGCCAACGCCGAGCTCAGTATCGGCCATCTGGCGCGCAACTGCACCCGGGCCGGCGTGTCATTCCGCGCAGGGCCCCAGGGCACCGTCACCGACCTCCTGACTCAGACCACCCCGACCACCCGCAAGAAGCGGGTGACCGGCGTCCGCACGGCCAGCGGCAAGAGCATCGCCGCCGACCTGGTCATGGTATCGACGGGCGCCTGGACCCCGCATCTGCTGGAGATGACCGGCCGCTCCGTCTCCGTCGCCCAGCCCGTGGCCTTCCTGCAACTCACGGCCGACGAGGCCCGCGAACTCGACAACAACCGCTGCCCTGTGATCCTGGACCTGAGCACTGGGTGGTTCACCTTCCCCCCGACCCCGGGGACCCACCTGCTGAAGATCGCCCGCCACGGGTTCGGCTACGAGCGCACCAACGAGGCCAAGCCGCAGAACCCGAGCTCCTACTCGGCCCCGTCGCTGGCGCGCCAGGGCGGCTACCTGCCCCCGGATGCCGAGAAGGCGCTGCGCGAGGGCCTGGAGCTGTGGCTGCCCCGCTTCAAGGACCGGCCCTTCGTCCAGCGCCGACTGTGCTGGTACAGCG